ATAGATTTGAATTCGATTTTTTTTGATCATCTGTTTTTTAAAGAGCCTTTGAATTGATGTTCATGATGAATAATGATAACATGTCGCTGAAAACTATATTTATTTGATATCAACCATTGCAATATCTCGAAGCAATAATGTATACTTCAATCGTTTTAATTTACAAAAAAAAACCTTTAAAAAAGAAAAGAAAAAAGAATTCAAATACCATCTCTAATATGAACAACGAGGATGATAATAAATCTAAAGATTTTGTATAATCACATAGATATGATACAGAAATGTACTTTTTTTTCGTACAATTTTATTTAGACATCAATATAGATGTTTATCATATCTATACGATGAAAATTATCATCTAGTATTTGCCATTCATAATACAGTATTCGATTTTTTCATGTTATATCAATACTCAAGTGTCTTAGAGAGAACAATTATTTGTTTCTTTATCAATTCTTTTTCCTATAAATTTCAAAATATGTAATTCAATTCCTTTTATAGAAACTGTTAATTCTAGTATTTTCTTTATTTTACATATAGAATATTAACTTATATTAAAAATCAAACGATCGACAGTTTTTGTTTTGATAGATGAAAACATAAAGTATCAATAAAAAATGCATATGTACATTTCACGAGATATACGAACAATGTTTTGAATACAAAATTATATTAATCATCTACAGAAGATAATTTCTGTTTTTATTTTCGTTGAGAGTTTCATAAATCCCGATTAAAATCAAACTTTAAAAGTACTAATTTAGATGTCATTTGATAGATTACTTAGATGACGGCATTTATTTTTATTTTGGAAGCATGTTCATCAACTGATATAATCGAAACCACGATCCGTTCTGTTTATGAAATCCGAACAAAAAGAAAACAATTATGTAATCCATTATACATATGCATAGCGGCAAGCTATTAATTAGAAACTCTGAATATTATTCCTATAACAAAGACATTTTTTTAAATTAATCAATCAAATATCAGAACAGCAGTATATCCTAAGCAGTTTTTTGTTTTTAAAATTATCCACTTGTAATGATCCAGCGATATATGAATATAAATATTAAGTTAAAGAAAACTTTTATACATAAACAATGAACTACCACAAAATAGCGGATACATTATTTTAATGATGAGAATATTATAATCCGTGTGCACGATTTGCTGTCCGCGGATTTACTGTCCATTGATTAGATAAAATTCGTTCTAATTAATGAATTTATGGAGTGAGGATTTACTGTCCGTTGATTGAAAAAAAGTTATTCCAATTAGTATTTCTTATTTATGAGAATTTACGTTCCGTTGATTAGAGTAAGAGAAAGAACTACAAAAAGTGAATATGCGTAACGAGAATCAATGTTGATTATAAAAAAACAATAAAAAAATGTTCGAAACAAAAGAAACAACGATTAATCCTCGGATGGTATTTTAGATCCAGCTGGGCCTACATGCTGCCATTTTTCATTTCCTGTTACGTTGATATGATCCATTTCTGAGTCACTTCTTTTCTAACTTTAAGAGGTAATTTTAGAAAAGAAATCATTCAGAAAATGGTACGTATGAACATTGTGGAAAATGAAAAATAGTATTATGTTGGTCCAGCTAGACTAAAAAAAGTCATCCGAGGATTAATAACCGAAGAATATATTATATGACGTGTGAGGGTGGATGTCGGTGTGGTCGTATTGATATTCCAGCATTCTTGAACGTTGATAAGCCTTGATGTTATGAACATCCATCGAAAAAAAAATCTTGTCTTTTTTTTCTTATTTGTTCCTATATATACTGTTTACTGTTTTTTTTCTGAGCAACATTGATTCTCTTTACGCAGATTCACTTGTTTATTTCTTTATCTCATTTTAATCACTGATAAGTAAATCCTCACCCATAAGAAACACCAATCGAGATATTTTTTTTGTTCAATCAATGAACAGTAAATCCTCAGCAGCGAAAATTCCATTTTTTCTCGAAAAAATCCAATTGAAATAGAAAATCAATCCGCGGACAGTAAATCGTGTAAACCCTTATATTTTTACATTTCTTCCGGTCATAAAAGAAAGAAAAAGAAGAACTAATAGTGCGATATCAGAAGATAATAATTGATTTACATCAAGTTTTTGTTAGTTAATGCTAAGAAATAATTCAGTAATTAAATATCAAAATCCATTCCTGGTAAGAATTTAATATCGCATAAAAATAATGATATTCGAAATGTTTTGCCATACAATGTCCAAATTTTAACTTAAAAAAATTCAACAAGTGCCTGATATATAATTGTGCTTTATCACTCGTTTATGCAGGTAAATAGAGCAGGGAGCGGGGGGGGGAGGGAGAAGATGGGTGCTAAAGAAAAAAAAAAAGCAGTTGAGCAAAATTAATGTCTTTCAAAATTACATTTAAGCAAAGCGCGCCTACTGAAAATTGTTTACGGCAGTAAATCGCACGGCAGTAAATCCAGTATACGCTCAAATAAGCAACAACTATGGATGATGATCAAAATTAAGTGCTTTCTTTAAATATATGATAAGAAATGTCTTATCTATTTTTTGTTCGAGACTAGTGAAGAAATTTTTATAAGTCAAACAAAGTTAGATTGAATGGGAAACCCATAGGCTTTTACTAACCCCTATAAGTTCTTTTTTCAAGTCGCCGAGAAATATTGAAGACAATTCTTTTGTCGAACAGACACTTAACAAAATATTATATTGAATTAAGCTTTAGCTTTAACCTAAGCGAAACTATAGTTACGTTACCAAAAATTCCTTGATATACAAAACACCTTATCATCAAAATGTCTATTTTTGTCAAGATAACGACTTGAAAGATATGAGAATTGAAGTCATCTGTGAAAAAACAAAAAAACTTCAATAGTACATTTAATAGGGCAGCTCCTGCTCTACAAGTTAGTGCATTAATAAAGATTTCAAGCTTGAGTTTCGAGTTACAATAGCAAAAGTACAAAAGTGTACGAAAAAATTTTCTATCCAAACTGTTTTTCTAAATCTTGCAAGAAATGATTTCATTAATCTCAAGAAGATTTCTAAGTCTAGATTTTGACAGGGCACAAAATTCTGATTATAGTCCATAGCCTTTAACTCCTTGGAAACACTTTTTAAGATAATAAAAAATAATCAAAGATTTTGTGTCAAAATAGTCGATCTATCCGCCCTAAATAAAGTACAACACAGTTATATAATTGATCAAAGAAATGAAGAACCAACTATTTGGTTAAACGGTCAACCAATAAGGAATGCATTGAGAGTCATTTAAAAGATGACAGTAAACCATGAACGAAGAGAACATTAGTGAATTACTAATGATCAATGAAAAAATATATTCTAAAGGTTTTAACGATCAATACCTTAAAAAAATGGCATCAACGAATACCATAACAAGTTTTTGAAAAGCTTTTACTTATTTAAACGTACTAAAAGAGAATTAAATTGGTAACAGATGTCTTTTCAAAGCTCAATCATCGAAACAATGTAGCAAGTCAACGGAATTCAAAGACCTCATACGTTGTCTTTTTTTTTCTAGACATTTTACGCTAAATAAACAACAGAATAAATGTATCATAAAGTCTCCCTATCGAAGTACCAATACCCTGAACGAATTGGAGAAGCAATTTCACAGAGAATTCTAGTCAGAGAACTTTTGTAGGAGAGTGTAAAGCACATGAATCCTTTAAAAGGATAAGTCTGTAGATTGAAGACGATGAATGCCATATCAGAATGCCCTTTATTATGAAATTACATTCTATATATATATAGATGGACGGGATGAAAATTTGCATGATGATAAACAAGATAGAAAAATCCAACAAGAATGATAAAAACAAAAGGAAAAATCCAGATAATAAGAAGAATATGAAAGAAAAATTCTCATATGAGAGGAAAGAAAAGAAAAATTAAAGACGTTGAGAATGAAAGATACACTGAAATAGAAGCATTACAAAGTGGAACTTTATCAGTTCGTGAAAGAGAGGACTCCTATGTGATTCAAATACTTTGAACTAAAATTCAAATTTGATTTCTACCATGTAACTGATTGAATAGTTTATTCTCTTCAAAGATTGATATGGATACAATGCTGTAGATACGAATATAAAGATACAAAGTTAATTATTCGGGTATTGCTGCTATGGCTGTCTGCATACCAACACATCTATGGTTAATGGCACAAATTTCGTATCGTCGACAGTCTGCCCGTCGATTGCATTTCTTGTATTTATTAACCTAAAACATAAATCATGACATAAAAGTATTAATTCCAAGATCTGAGTTTCATTTCTTTGTAATGCTGTCAGATTTTTAAAATTCACTATGACTTTTTAAATTACATATTTTTTTTTAATGTTTAAAATGAATCTATGTGACAAGATGCCGACATACTCGATGTTTACATCGTCGAGAACCCTGGCAAGCATGTTGATGAACAGTATTCGTTGAAACCGAAAGGATTATAACGATAAAGAACAGAAGAACAAGCACAAAATATTTTGAAGCCATCTAAAAAGAAATAGATGAGAGATGATAAATGAAAGAGAATTAAGAGAACCAGGCAATTGTGATGTTATTTATATGTAACTCTGCTTTGTTTGCAAAAAAAGATCATTAGTCATGTGATATCACTGCACTTTCTTTATCTTTTCTACATACAGAATAACCTTTTAGAGGGTGCCAGTGTAAGTATTTTTCGGAGAGTGTTTAATGCATGCCCCTATTGTCAATTTTCATTTGATTTTTTGACGTCAACAATTTTAAAAGGGTGTTATTATTTTCTATATGTTGTTACAATATGTCAGTAGAACTTCTGAACTCTCCCAAGAACGTCTACTATCATGTGTCGAACCAAGTTTTATTTGTAATTAAATCGAATCTGATATGGTCAAATAAGCATTGTACCGTATAAGATTTAATAAAATTAGTTGCAATGATTTTAGATATTATTTAACAAACACAATTAAACTTTAAAAAAATTCCGATGAATTGTTAAGAGGGTGATTCGCCCACACAATCATCATCATCGTCGTTGTTGTTATTCGTTCGATTACGTTGTAGTTCGATAGCTTCCATACATCGATTGATTTCTTCGATTTCATTGGTTTTCTTTCTTTGTTCCTTCTGTTGATATCGTTCATACATTATTTTGGACCACCCATAATGCTGATAAGCACTATCAAGCTGTGCATCATCAGCTAGACGTTTTGCCTCTGTAAAAAAATAATGGCCAATATCCACTAGCATGCGAGCCAATAAATCATCTTGATGATCAAACATTAAAACATGGTCCAAGTATTGCAGTGCCCAAGTATTGGTTGGTCGATCAGCACCGTTAACTTGTGTCATATTCATATTGGCGCAAAAAATATACATCCAACGTCCTACTACAAAAGTGTCCGGAAAATTTGCGACGAGACTTGGTACAATAATTCTTCCTTTTGAACCTGAACTAATAAAAAATATACATTTATGACGATTTTTTTCGATAGTGTGAAAACATTTTTCAACATCTACAAAAGCTTGAAACATGAATTCAACATCGTCGAGTCGTACAAGAATGGGAACGTCTAAACTAATACAACGGTCAATATCATCTTTGTTAAGAGTCCTTTCAAATAAGCCATTGGTCGGATCTATCCCCATGAAAAAGGAGCATTTTAATAGAACACACTCATCAGGTTTTCCAATATGTTTATCCAGCCAAATGATAAAATGGTTCGGTTCATTATTGCTGTATATATTAACTGAACTTGCTACACGCACATCAGGTTGTGCCATGGCTGATCTAGAATGAATATAATATTACATAGCAATATTTTATGGTTAACATCTAGTCGATTTGCTCAATTCTTTCAAGTAGCATACACTTACTATAGAAAAAAAAAAGAAATCACCTTAATCTGTCTCTTCTTCGACAGAAAGAAGTTTAACGTAGGAAAATTTGTATGCTACTGATGAGCCACTCTAGATTTGCCTATTTGCTACAAGAATAACTCTCGAAAATTATCGAAAACATTTTATAACAGTCATGTATTATATTATCGCTTCAATCTGAAAATTTGACTAAAGATTATAATACATTATGCATATTGCTACTCAAAGTTTTCAAAAAAAAATCTGTTGTAAAATAATAATGAATGCTGTGAGTAGCTAAGTAATAAAAAAAATTATGCTAGAAAAACAATCTAATATGATATTTGTTAAAAAAACCAAAATAATACTGAAACAAAGCTACAAAAACGCTCAAGTCAAATCAACGTGATCATAAACGCATGTGTTAGATGGCTTTTTCATCGTTTATTAGACACAGTATTACGGCAGTATTTCAATGTATTGTAACCGGTCATAAACGATCGAATAGTCGGTTTTCAAATCGTCTAACGACCACTATCAATTGTGCACGGTACAATAAAATACGGTCAAAATATTGTATCTATAAAAAGTCAATTCACGGTTATTTACAGTCGTAAACTGTATGAAGCGATAGTTTATAATACCATTTTTGGACAGTTCGGTGACTATAGTCATCAGCTGGGGAATCTTGTGCTATATAACCAATATTGATACATACAAACTTCAAACTTCTATAGCAGGATATGGTACGATTAAAGTGAAAAATGTTGCCGCACAACGATAAACATAAACAAAGGTTGGTATTTTCCAGCAGTAATTACATGACGACATAAAACAAAAACGAAAATATCAAAAACGGTTTTTTCCTCTTCCTACGATTTGTGCATTTTTTATTTTCTTATATTGGAAGAAAGCAAAAAGCACAGCAATTGCCACGTGATAGACATCAATGACATGTTTTTTGAGTAGTGCGTCATAATAAGAATAACCTTGTAACTCAGTTCTCCAGTCATATGGGATGAAGATATATTTTTTTGTTAAATTATTTATTAATATCATATACTAATGACAAATAAAAATATTGAACAAATATGTTTTTACAAATTTACAACCTGTGGTTTCGTAGACATAGATGCCACTACATAACTTTGAAATATCTTGATGAAAAGTTTTTATGAATCAGCTATGAGATGACGGTGTGAGTGCACAGAAGGTGTCTTTCTCCTTCATTTTGAGAGAAATTACAATAAAAAATCTTAAAAGGGAAAGAAATTTTGTATACGGACCTGTCCCACTCTCTTCCATGACTGTTTTTTCTTGCCTATGTACCTGTTATCGAGTTTTTTTTTTAAAGATGCTTGATGAATGAAAACAAAAGCAAATATTTTATCTGACATTACACAACTATTGGCAAGTTTCATAAAGACGTGATAGTTAATTACCCTGTGTTGTGCAATATTGCATTGTATATAAAATAAGAGATACTTTATGCGACTGAAAAACAAGGCGTCACTTTCTCAACAACTGTAAGTAGAGGAATTTTTTTGTTTAAAACATAATGATTCTTTTTTGGAATATAAAATATCTTTTCTTCAATACATGAGCAAAAACCTTGGCCTCAAACATGCTATAGAAATTAAAAACGAACGAAGAAATACGATTGGCTTTGTTACATAGAAATAACCAAAACATATTTCTTAAATCGCTTTTAATAAAAGTAGTGTTTGGAGCTTCTATGTATTTAATATAAATAAATTGTTCCAACCGAAAAATTATTCAAAGATATACATACAAAAAAATTTAATGATACAAGTCTATTTTTACAAATAGAGACTAGAAATATAATTATAGCTGGATTCATTTTCTTCAAGAAAGAGTATCTAGAATAACAAATAGTATTCGTCGAAGGACAAAGCTTTGAAAGTCACAAATTTTGTTATTTACCCATGTCGCACGTGTGTTTCTGCTATGGCTGGTATACCAGCAGTCGATTGCTAGTCAGGGAACAACTGTCGATAATCTGTAGAAGAATGATGATCAGATGCTAGTCAATACTTTTAAGTATCAAACAAGTGCTGATTAATCGTCAGTATATCTGCAGTTTTTGTTTAATTTGAATTACATGGACTGATATATAAGAATAATGATGATGTGTTTTTTTTACTGTGTACTGTTCCGTTAAATAACATGAACAAAATGCAAAAATATTCTATTGTCTACTTCTTTGAAACATTAAAAAAAAATAAGTATGCAAATAAAACTTCAGGTTATTATATTATTTAGATAATCGTAAAAACACATTATTCTACAGCGGAGCAGAAGTACAGATGGGTGTAGATACACCTACATCCTCGTTAATAGTAGTAGATCCCCGTTTACTCTGATAGACCCTGGTAGGAACGTCTGCAAATGTTAATTATATTTCTCTAAAACATATTTGAATAGATAGTCAAAAACCACTCTTTTCATCTAAAACTGACGAAATCAATATCAATTGCTGTGAATCAGTGTTTACTTAATATAAAATCTATTACGTTATTAGATCCGTATTTGCTTTTGAAAACATGTGAGAGAATCGATCGGTCAGTAAAGTGATACAACTTGTTATGTCTTAGAACTTTTTCAAATGGAATAGAAAAAGTTTTCTTCGTTTTTTTTACTCTATATCAAGTTGTTCATTTGATAAAAATATATAACAAGAGTCGATTTGAATAAAAACTATTCTTACTAAAATGTTAATAAACATATATTGATTTGAACAATTTTATTTTTATTAAACTAGATTTGAACTTTTCAATCCATTCTGTGGTTGCTAAAATTATGGCTACATATTTCAAAGCTCCATTCACTATGATTGGTGACTATTACTACGTTGAAGCTAAAGTACCAAAAGTAGATGCATCATCTGGTAATAATATAATATGTTGTGTGGATATATCAGGTTCAATGAGTGGTAGTCCAATTCGTAATGTTTGTGAAGTGTTACGTGATATTTATAAGCGTACACAAATTGAATATCCATTATTTACTTATAATACAAAAGCTGATACAACAAAAACAATAAAATCAGTTGAAAAACAAGATTTAACTGCAAATGGTGGCACTAGTTTTAGTTCAATCTTTAGTGCTATTCAAAATCATTTAATTACTAATCAAAAATCAACGACATTTATTTTTATGACTGATGGTCAAGATACAGATTCTCAAGATGCATTGAAAAAAGCTATTCAAAGTTTAAAATTAACTCTTAGTAGTTTGTCAAAAGTAATTACAGTTGTTTTTCATGTTATTGGTTTTGGTGAAGTGAATAATGATTTTTTAAACAAAGTACGACAATTTGGTAACAAAGAAGGTTTATTTCGATATTCAACTGAATCAGCAGAATTACAAAATAATTTCAATGATATGTTTGAATATGCAATGTCAGCCAGAGAATTTACAATTGTTATTAACGGACAGTCTTATACATCAAGTAGTAATGAAGAAACTGTAGGATTTTTAATTGATAATCTTACAATTGATAATACAACGACTAAGGAAATTATACTTAAATCATCTGATGGTGAATCAAAAATTCCATTAGAACTTATGGAAAATATTCGTCCAATTCATGTTGTACGAGCATTAAATTTAGTATCTCCAGATGATGAAGAGTTTGTTCACAAAATTCGTACATGTTTAAATTCAATTGTTCCAACAGCAAGTGCTGATCTTATGGAAAAATTAGAATTAGAACAAATTAAAAAAGAAATTGACGAACGAATGATGGAATATACTAAATTATTTACACAGATTAAAATGGGACAAGTACCAGAACAAGTCAAATTAAAATTGAGTGCATTAAGACATGATGCTACATTTGCTAATGCACAAAGACGTAAAAAATTAGATTTACGTATTAGTAAAAATGTTGACTATTTTCGTCGAACAGATATTACTGGAATATTAGATGGTTATAAAAAAAGTATTGATCAAGAAGGTTGGAATAAAATAAAAGAACAAAAATCCGATTGGGTTTGTACATATTCTAGTGATGATATATATGAAATGATGAGAAAAGCTCCAGATAATATTATGTGTTTAGGATTATTAATTGAACGTAATGAACAAGCTATAACATCACCAACTAAAGGATTAAAATTAATTAGTGTATCAAATACACTAATTTCATATGATTCATTTATTGCTGCAATGACTTTAACAAAAAATTTGCAACAGCAACAACAACAACAACAAACAGATGGAAGCAACTATGGACAATTTTCTGGAATTAATAATTCGTACTGTGTAGTTGGTCAATTACATGAAAAAATCAATGCTGTTATACCACTTTATATTAATTATGAGCATATGAAACGTATAAGAATTTTAGAAGGAATTTGGTTAGGTTATATGTTTACTTTAGATTCGTATGGTTATGATAAAGAGCAAGAAATTGGTTTACTCAAATTACTCTATGATATTATTATATTACGTACCGGTACAGCAAGAAATCAACAATTAATACGTGAATTCGAAAAAGTCTGTCATTTTATTATTACTGAATCAATCGGTTTTAAAACTGCCTATGGAGAAAAAACATATGATAATTTTATTAACAGTATTCATGGACGACAAAATGGAACGTATGATTTATGTATTCCATTGATTATTGGATATTTAAAAAATGAATTAAAAAGTGTTTTAATGCCTGTTTATTATGAATATCTTCGACAATGTTTACATAAAAAAATGCCTACCGATAAAACTAATATTATTGAACGATTATTATATGGTGATGAAAGTCAAAGAGTTAAAACTGTTGCAAGTAATACAGATACAGTTGGTATTGATATAAATCAACAAGATCCTGATTATGTTGAACAAAGCTTTATACAATATTTTCATGATGAAATGTGTAAACCACTTGAATTAATTCCAGAAACAACAACTGGTGAAGATCGAAAATTAATCATTTCTGAAGCTGACGTTGAATATATCAAAAGTATTTTACAATCTATTGATAGTGAACTTAGTTTAAATGTTCCTATGGTTATAAAAAATATGTTAAAATATTGTAATATGAATGAAAATTATATTGAAGATACCATTGACTATGATGATTTACGAAGAGAATTATTAATGATTTTATATTTTGATACTACTGTACCAGCAAATGTAACAAAATCACATGTATTATCTATACTTGATGAAAAAATTCAAGGTAAATTTTTCATGAAAAACTTCATTTCTTTTTTTTTTAATCATCTATTGTCTTTATCATTATTTTTTAGGAAATCGTGATAATACTGTTACATTTAATTTTACACCAGAAACTATTCGTATTGTTTCATATAAAATGTTAACTTCTAAGACATTAGAAGGTTTTGGTGGTTTATTAAGGAAATATTGTCCAAAACGTTGTGGTCCACTTTTTTCTGAAATCATCAAAAAGTTATTAGTTTTACCACAAACAGATAAGACAGAAACAGATGTTAATACTGCAACTAATAAAGATAAATTAGTTGCATTATTAACAAATCAAGTTGGATATTCTCAATTATATAATAATGAAATGTCCGCCTTTTGTTGGCAACCATTAGCTGATGTAGATATTAATCTTTTGGCACAAATTGTTGGCAAAGGTGAATTCGAGAAAATTGAAAAGAAAAATTTGGGCAAAGATGTTCTACATTGTTATAGAATATCAAATAAACTCAATCACCATGGTTATGGTAATTATAGACCAAATATGAATAATAGGTTTAAATTTACTGGTTATAATGATCGATATTAACTCATTGTCTTCTTTTTTTGGATCTCTTAAACAAGAGAATAAATAGTTTTTCTATGCCTCTAAGTTTCTTCATTATTTTTAATAGTGATTATATCTATGAGAAGCCATAAATTGGCATCTTTTTTTTTAATTAAAAAAATTGTTTTTTTTTTTTATTATTAAAGCTTAGCGTTCAATATACAAGAATATATTTTTCTTGATAATCATTATCTCAATAAAGAATATATAAAGCATGAGTCAATACTTTATGTCCATATACTTCTGATATAAGCCAATATGAAAAACATCCACTGTCATTTGTTCCAAGAGTACCTAATTTTTTTTCGGAATAGTTTTCGTTGATTTAAAAAAAGTAAACTGTAAACAAAGAACCACTATATTATTACCTTTAGTAAATCCTAAACTAGAGATCAATGAATACTGTTGATACCACCATTGTTGTATAATGAAAGACAAAAAAAAATCCAAGAAGCAACTCAGTACATATAGAAGTGAATGATTGTTGATACAAGAAAGTATATAATACAAGTATATAGAACATTTGAATACGTTTAATCTATGTTTTGTTAGATATCGATACGATCAGGAACTAAAATAGAATTGAAAGTAGAACATTCATAAGAATTTACTAAGTCAGAGGATAAAAATACCAATGTTTGAATCAAATAGGACATAAGCATCTAGGAAAAAAAGGAGTTGGATAAAGCGTGTCTCATAAGTTTTGGATCTTTATCAAAATTAGTTTATATGCCGACAGAGAGTAATCTCTAACTGAATTGATCTATATGAGTTTTGAGTACTTGTGTCAATGTTTCAAATAGTATAGTATTGGTCAGTATTTTCTCTTTTAATAATAACAATATAAATATGAATATGTGATGTTCGAGTATTCGAAATCGACTAACAAGAATTCTCTAGATTGTTTTTTAATTACATGACGAATAAACTTTCAATAAAATAATAGTATGCTGGAAAGAAGTAAATAGTTATGTTGGATATTTTCTGTTACTAGTCACATAATGGAAAAACCTATGCATTGAATAAACAGTTTCAAATAAACGAAAAGCATGAACATGCCTACGAGTAGATCATGAAAAAAACACATCTTATATTGAGCAAAAGAGTTTCATCCTGTAGACATGTTCATGCTAGTTGTTTATATGAAACTGTTTATTCAATGCATACTTTTTTTCATTATGTGACTAGTAGCAGAAAATAACCAACATAACTATTTACTGCTTTCCAGCATGCTATTATTTTATTGAAAGTTTATTCTCTATGTAATTAAAAAATTTAGAGAATTCTTGTTAGTCGATTTCGAAAAGTCGAATATTACATACTCTTATACTACTATTATTAAAAGAGAAAATATTAACTAATATTATGCCATTTGAAACATCGATACATGTACTCAAAATGCATATAGATATATTCAGGTAGGGATCACCCTCTGGCTGCATATAAACTAATTTATTGTTGAGATCCAAAACTTATGAGATAACCTTTAATAAATATTTTCATTAATTCCTTTGACAATATCATAACTAGCACACTAAATGATTCAGATAATTGTTGCATATTATAAAAACTCTTCAGAAGTCTTGCTTTAGTTAGACCGAATAACACATTAATACATTCATGAGCACTGTCAGAGTTGTAAATAATTAATTACAATCGTGCTTCCTCCTCTTCAAAATAGAATTTTCAAGCTATTATATGATATTGAGCAGATGCATTCTGTACATGTTGTGGTTGTCTTGTCTTATATGGAAAAAAAATATTCAGTTTCATGCCTCACTGTCTGCTGAAGCTAAAGCAATTTTTCAACATGCAGGGTCTTCAATGCGACGAAATTACTTGAAGAGACAGAATCAGTTTTCATGTTTATTTTATAGGCGACACTTGATACTGGTGACTTTCACGATCCATTTGTTTTCTTCTATTTTTGAGACATGCATCACTTGATGAAAACTTGACATTATGGAAAAATCATTTAAATTTTGATAATGAAAATAATTTTCTTCTTCAATTAAAACTTTTACTTATACAAAGATCACGATAGTCAATAGCGATAAAAGTCAGCTTCAAAATAAAAAAGTTGACTTCATCTCTTGAAGTGGTCGAATAATGATTGAGATGTGAATAGTTCCTTCAATGTTTCTAATATGTATAGTAAAATTGCTAAGTTGTGGGTGTGAGTTGGGTGTGGCATATGTTAAGAATAGACACATCCAAGTCATCGAAGATAATAACGATTAACTTGATATTTTAAAAGAAAACATAGAAATGATGACATCAATATTGTATTGCTTTCATTCTTTTATAAGACACATTCTCATAACGAAGCCTAGCATTACTGCTTTTTTTTTAATTACAATGAATATCAAATGACAAACATCGTGTTGGACAAAATTGATCTGGTTTTATCATGCATAGTTGTTTTTTCAAAATTGTAGATGATTTTAGCCTTACTTGTGTTACTCCCTCTCACAGACAGGTTTTCTTGGTTATAGATGGAAGTGCTGTAGAAATAGTTGATAGTATTTCTCGTACCACTTCTAGTTATTTATTACAACGAGACATATATTACAACACATTACTGGATTTGGAATATGGAGTCACTTTTTTGAAAGTTGCACTGTTTTAGTGAAAAAAAAACACAAGAATAAGTTTAATTCCAGGTGTTCCGCAGTTCCTCTGTTATTGATATTTCTCCATTACGGGCAGCCTCACAGTAGAACTGATTTCTAGTATTTTATTTGATTACCTCGTCTAGAAAGGCAGACACATAGCATTTGGTGTTATAACGACAATTTTCGAAAGAATTCAAGCAATATTCAGCAGAGCGTCATCTTTCGGCCTCCTTCGCTTTATCAAAATGTCGGCTTCTACATCATACATCTTCATGAAAGATAGACCTGACTGACAAGGACTAGCTATATGTGTAGAATGGTTTTTAGTTCTTTTTCAAATATTTGGCGTTGTATATCGATCTCTTGAGATGATCATTTTACTGGTTTCAATGTTGCAAATTCTAGTGTGTAAGATAGAAATTTGATCTTATTGTAAATGTAAATGAATGAAAATATTTATACACCGAAGTGCCAAATTAAGTATAATCCCGCAAGAAAAGATGTAAGCCAATGCAGCTCTAAATTTAAGTTAAAATCGACATGAATATCTTAGATTTCACCTACACCTTCAAATTAGCTCGCATTGAAACATAACGAATGATTAAATGGAGTTGTAAATTAGAATACTATGGCAATGAAATCAATGAAAAGAACACTAGGAGAAACAAATCAGAAAGGGGTATGACTGTGTTGTGAACCTTCTCTTGATCCACACTCCTCTATTTGAATTTAATCGAGATCAATGAATAAGCTAATACACGCAAAAAAAACTCTACGATGCTAAAATTTCCGATTGACATCGGGCTTCGTTTATTTATTTATAAAATAAACTTTTTCGTATACAAGGTCAGCATAAAATCGAATGTATAAATTATTCGATGAAAGTATCTAAGCACTTTTAAATCGAGCCAGTGGAAAATTCGGGCCTGGGCATGTGCGTCCAACATTAAACTGGTCGTGTGTATAAATATTAATACCTTGATAACGACGTTTTATATCAGCGACTAATCTAATGCCCGCTTGAATTTGTACTTCAGGCATTACATTATTATTTTGAACATTACGACTGAATTCAATACCAATACACCACAAATTTGGATTTGCACGACCGTAAAATTGTGAGTTCGTTGTTACAACACCTAGAATGAATGATTTTGACAATTAAAACTTTATTGTGTTCCAACTTGAGGTGTCATTATGAGAACATCCGAATGTACTATTTAGATTTTTGTTTAAACAAACCTAGAGATTGAGCTTTGCGCTATCTCTTCTCAAAACTGAATAGATGATTCCATTTATGAGAAAATAAGAATGTAAAAAAATATTTCTTCTTAGAATTAATATTTTCCACTCCGTTCATATTAGACGAGAAATAGAGTGTGGTGTGAAACCAAAGAGTATTGCAATGTTGATGACTTTAGTGACTGAAGAGCTTCTATAGGTTAATAAAAACAACCAAGATTCTTTAGGCATGTTAGCTACCATCAACATGTTTCTCATCTACTTGAAAGCAAAAGTCAAACATACCATTATGCCATGCTGTATCATCTTCGCTGACCATTTGCGTAACCGATCCGTCTTGTCCAACAACGTAATGTGCAGAGACTTTACTTGATGGATTTTGAAACCATTCAATTGTGCCACCGCCAGCTGTACCATGAAGAACCAAGCCTGTTTCATTTTTATCAGAAAGAGATAAGAATAAGAATAATCAAAGAAGAATAACTCTTACATGTGATGGCATGACCTTGACGTCCACGGTTGAAATGTGGTGATGATACTTGTCTAGCACCAGTATAATCCAATGTCCATGAATGCACACTAGCCACAACAACAGCCAACAACAGTACAATGAACTTCATCAAGTAGCTTCTTGAAAAGAAGAAATTGTCCAAGATGTGTGTATAGTACGTGTAGTCCTACCTGTTTTTCTTTTTCTTTCGTATGAAAATATAGCATTCAAATTCGCACTTTTATATAGATATGTGCAACACAAATTAGAAATGTGAGAAGTTGATCTTCGTAAGCTCTTTTTCATTTATTTTTAATCCCAAAAAACAGAATGGTTCTATTTTTTTATTATATGCTCAGGTTTTTGTGAAGTATGATCGCGAATGAATCCGAATATTGTCACAACCAAATAGTTAAAATCTATAAGCTACTCCAGAAAGTTGGTTATATGATTCGAAAAACTTGTTTCCACGATTGAAGCATCTTCATAACGGTGGTGCTGTGAGCTTTTCATTCTAGAACGTGTTTCTTTTGATGCGATGCAACTTATTTTCTGTCTAGGAGTCACTGTAGGAGAACCACGATCGATCCTCAATAGAGCTGCTCAATCAAAAACTTTAGTTTCGAATGAAAATTACTCCATTCTGTAGAACAAATAATTTTAGGCATATAAGCAAAATTTAAAATCATATGGGGATGATTTTTAACTGAAACATTATGATCTAATTAAAATCACCCAAAATAACTTTTTATTAATTTAAGATATTATTATGATATTTTCTCGTCAGTATGAGCTAGAGTTCTGTAACTTTCAATAGATATATGTTTAGAAATGAGCAAAACGACCACTCTATCCAATAAAATTTATGCGGTGAACAATGCTCCCGATCAGTGTGATAGAATTTGCTCAATATTTTTCAATGAAAACTACTAATTTGGTGCTACTTGAACTTGCATTCAAAAATTCAGGATCTTGACTTTTAACTGGACAAGCATCATCACAAAATAGTGCATTTCTCCACGTAGCATAAAATAGAAGACGATCTCATGCCGTTTGACTTTATTGCCAAAAACAAAAATTACTACAGAAGTCAAAGTTAACTATGACTTCTACAAGTTTCCATGTGATTGGTGATGCTTTCGCCTTTTTTTAAGTATACCATTAGATGAGTACCTTAGTGCTCTTGAGAAAGGGGAGCAGTTAGTGGCGTAACTAGATGAGGGCTAGAGGGGGCTGAGCCCGCTCTAGAAGGCGTTGAGCCCCCCTCCCCCAACAAACGGTTGACTTCTGTTAAAAAACACCATGAGCCCCCTCTAAAGACGTGAGTGAAAGAGTCTTTGCCCCCTCTACGAACTGGATCAGGGAGCTGAGTCCCCTCTATCACGTTTTTCTGGTTACGCCCATAGGAGCAGTGAAATCAAAATGGGTAATTTTTGAAATAATATTTGTACTATTCGACAAAGAATAAAATTTTGAAGACAACTTCATGAATGACTTCGATTGAATATGGAAAAACGATTAAACAGCAGGGTAATATTCTTCATAGCTATCCTTCTATATAGGTCACGACAATATAATGTGAAAAGCTTATCAAAAACTCTTTTCGGAGAATCATTATTGAAAAACTCTTATGACTTATTATCTGTTATTCGCATATCACCAAAAATATGTGCAAATATCCTGATGGGTAACATTGTGTATTCAGGAACGATACCGTTGTGTGAAGAATTACGCAATAACAGTTAAAGAACCAATTTATCAGAGGCTGGAAAAACAATTTCTTTCTGTTCTTCGTCTTGAGCATATCATCTAACATTCGAGAGAAGTACTTAGTAATGAATCCTCTATATGTTTGATCTTAACTGTCGTGAGAGAAGCTTAACTGATTTCTATAGTATGTCGAAGACTGATTAGTGTCTGAAAGAACAGGTACATCGAAGATCTCTACAGAAAATTCGTCCTTTACTTTTCTCTTAGCCATATCATCCAAAATATAGAAAAATATTTAATAGATCACATTCTAGATCTACTACTTTTACATTGATGTATAAAAGCTGGATGATTTTTGTAACATAAATACTTAGATGTTACTATTTATCTAAGTGGAAATACAAATGATTTTACAAAAAAGAATACATTGTAAATATTTTGTTTAAAAGACAAATGACTTATTAGGAAAAAAGAATCTTAATTCTAAGTCGATTAGATTTCTACACAAGATACTTGCATGCAATATTTCTATAATCGCTAATACAGAATGATATTGCATGTAATAACATGCTTGTTACTAAATTAGAAAAAGAAGCAGTAGAAAAAACGTATAAGTGTGAGTATACAACTTCCATGCAGAATATATTGAGTCCTTTCAACAATCACAAGTTTGAACTTTCACAAACTATTTTTTATCATCAGGAAATAACCACAAAGAAAAATACATTGACTCTTCTATATTTGTGTTGTTGCTGAGTATCATGCTAATGATATGTTGGACCCATAATTACAAGAAAGCACGGTTTTGAGCACCCTCAGACCTTTGTTGAAAGAATTTGAAAACATTGATCCAGTATGATATAACAAATGTTGAAGCCGACGAATCATGTATAACCAACCGTTTTTGATCAGTCACATCATTTAGGAGAGAATCAAAACAGCGCTTGTAACAACTAGCAAACAAATAGATTATCTATTTGAAGGCTAAAAGAGTTCTTCGAAAATATATATGGTTGATTAGACAAATTATAGATGAAGATAATAAATAAGATATAGAAGAAACAGCAACTGGATGAAACTTGATGAGCATTGTTTACAAAGACAACAATAATGAATATATTCATTACTCATAGAGCTACAGCTTTGAAGCATGATCTCAAGTTGGTATTGCGATTCATAGCTGTACAAAAACAACGTTCGGTAATGTGGACGCCATTTTCGGGCGTAGAAAACTTGGGGAATACGCAGAAGGCATTTGCCATTTCATTGAAATAAGGACTAAAATTCGACAGTTATTTCTGCTGCGACATCTGGTCTATAACACGACCCAACTCATGCACCTAACTTTCAACGAATCATTCTGTTCTAAATACTGAACTATTTAGGGCAGTTATGGAATTCTTGCAAAGAATAATGCCTTCAAAAAACAATTTTTCGAAATAACGTCATATCAATGAATGTTAAATTTTTAGAAATGCACAGGATAGAAATTTCAGTAAATCCATTATTGTCTGCAAGCAACGAATGGTGCTTGTAAAATTATAATAAATTGAAGAAATGAAGAACTCGTAGCCGATAGAACTTGTTGAGTTACAGACTGTTGGTAACTATTCCGATTTGTATCGCGGAAATCAATAGCACAAATACATAGAATATGAACATCAACATTTTTATATGGTAATGTCATAGGCATATACTGTAGCCTATATCGGTAGCAAGTGAAAAATGAGTACATCATTGTGATAGACGTTTAAATGAATTTGATTATTGGATGTAACTATACTGAATAACTGAACTTCCATCGACAGTGGAGTCATTGTTAAAAAATTCAATGATGCACAATTCACATCTAATATGGTTATATAATATGGAGATGATAGCACAATTCAAATTGAATCGATGTGTTACATCGTTCAAAAGCAACGTTGAGAAGTGCTTGATATTCAGCAACAAAATTTACACTGAAAATAATAAAAAGATTAATCAACATATTTTTAATGGAATAAAAGGCATCAACAATTTTTTACCGATGAAAGAAAGACTTCAAACTTATAATAAATGATGAAAAATCACGAGCAGGATTCTTAAAAAGAATTAGTTCTTTTTTTTCTTTTTTAGAAAGAATGAGAAATTTGTGAGCAAATGTGTATCCAATTAAAAATACAACCATTATAGTTTGTTCTCAAAGAGTCTGCCATTGCACAACTCATATTCACAATTCACTTCAAAAATTTTCAGCTTAATTAATTAAACTGTTATTTAGTTTAGAGCTTAATCAGATAGACGTTTTCTTGATCTTTACGATAAACATATAAAACAAGAATCACTGACGATTAAACCAAAACTAATAATCGAACTACTACGTATTTTTCACATATTTTAGTAGCCTATAACATAAAGAGACTTGAACTTTTTTAAAGTGTGCGTCTTTTATTATTTACAACCTTCTAACTTTCAACTGATTTTAGTACCATTCTATTCTTCAGAAACCAACATAAAACGTGTTTCTTTAAAATGTCCAACTTTCGAAAGATATCATTTCGACCATTGCTTCCGGCACAGGTTTAACCTCTCCGATCAAATTGTGTATGTGGACTGAGCGTTGACGAGCTTCGAAGTGCGGCTGTTAAAATGATAACGTCAGTCAACGTACTTTTTAGACATTAACCTCACATTTTAATATGCACACACTCATCACCAAACTGCAATCGTCATTTCACCACTCTGTTCTACACCCACAAACATTTCACGTTCATATTAATCAAAGAAATACATAGAGTAACAAGTGTTCGAAATCAGCTAACACGTGTCATTATACATTCAACAGTCAACACAAATCTTATATTATATTTTGTTGTACTGATTACAAAAAAATATAGTCAGACCAATATATATGTCAGCTGTTGCGTGAGAAATGTGCACTGTCTGTGCAGAATCAGAAAGATACCGAAAAATGTTCACGCTGCAAATGTGGACAGTCCGCACTCGAACAAAAAGTATAACTCATTTTTGATGACCTCATCACTGAGCGGCCATGCCTTTCTAACACTAGTTGTTAAACTCTATTTTATGAGTTTTCTAAAACAAGAATACACAGCTATCGCTACACGTTAAGAGAAAGAATTCAATGATTGGTATAACTGTTCTTTAAAAGATCCTATTCATTTTATCACCTCATTTTGATGCCCGTTTGTTAAATTTATAAACTTGACTATAACACATGTTGATAAAAGATGATTCTAATAGCATATTTACTTAAGTCACAACTTAGTGAATGTTACTGTGATGAGCATAGTATTTTATTTCATCTTAAACTTAAATTTATATAAATTTATTTACTAAATACATTAAGATTGAATCGAATACTCTATAAGTATATATGTATGTCTGGCTATATCTTGTCTAGTTAAATAGTCTTTTGCAATAGTTTCAACGTCATATTGTTGCTTATATGTCCATGTTCAAAAATGAAACACCATGTTTTAAGAAATATTAAAACGTCACACATAAGAAGAACAAGTGGCAAATATTTATCTAGGTTTTGTTTGCCACCGTTGCCAATACGTCGCTCTTTTCAGCACACGATTTATGTTTTTTAAATGAGAATATTGATTGTATTATAAATACAGTATCTCATTCTAGAAGGTACTAATGATGATGATGATGATGAAGTTTAGAGATAATTATATTCAAATTTTGTCTAAGAGCAAATGCACCAATCGGTGTATTTTATTGAAAAGAATTAATTTTTACGTACAATTAAAAAAGAAACTTACAGTAAGATGATGATATGACAAAATCAATTTATTTTGCTATGCTTTTATCTTAGCTTGTGTCATCATTGCAAAGCCTATCTTTATCAATACGACTGTTTTTTGTTCGTATTTTTCTCATTACAATACGTATCAAATAACAAGAAATGAATGATAAATAAATTCGATGCTCACTCTATGTCATTTTGTTTTGCGAAAGAAAACGATCACTGCAATGTCTCCAACCTTAACTATTCTATTAATCGTATTGCAAAGGTAAATTTTTTCATGAAATGACTTTTTAATTAGCAATTTTTTTTCTTATGTTTATTTTGTTTAGTTTGTTCGGTATAGTTCTTATATTTAGTTTTATTTTGATTATTCATGTATGCCTTATTTAGCATTAACAATAGGTCAAACATGTCGAAATTTATCAGCCTATGAACCCTGTTCAACTAATCCTGATTGTGGTTGTCTACTGTTTTCATCATCAAATGATCAAAGTGGAATTTGTGCATATCTTCATTTAAATGCGTCAAAATTAAGAACATGTAGTGAAATAAATTATTATTGTGATCAACCATATACTGTTTGTGTTCATCATCCAAATTTATCGATTGATCGACCATTGTGTTATCCAACCGGTATGGCTGCATTAGATCTTTGTCCACCATTAGGTCTGATTTCAAGTATAAGAAAGAGATTATTATTTTTAAATAATTCTTAAGCTTTCTATTTATTTGAATTGAATAGCTTCATCTCCATCACCAGTACTACCTGCTGAAGAGATTTGTGTTAATGTAACCTGGACTAAACGGGGTATAACTGTTGCTGGAAGTAATTTCAGTGGTACTGCATTAGATCAACTTCGAAGTCCAACTGCAATTTTGTTTGATTCGAAAACAAATACACTTTATGTCTCTGATAATGGAAATGCACGCATTGTAACATGGCAGCTAGATGCTAAACGTGGGGCTATTATAGCTGGAGATAATGGAGAAGGAAATAGAACTGATCAATTCGGTTGGGTAAGTGACAAGAAACAAAAAAGATTTTTTTTCTTTGTTTAACAAAAATAAATCATATTTAATTAGATATCAGATATATTAATGGATCCAAAAGATGACAGTTTAGTTATATGTGATGCACAAAATCGTCGGATTGTTCGATGGACACGACGTGCTCAAGAAGGAGAAATACTTATTGATAAGCTCTATTGTACTGGCTTAGCATTAGATGATGAAGGTTTACTTTATGTTACTGAGCATGATAATCATCGAGTTACTCGTTGGATATTAGGAGAAAATATAACATATGATCAAGTAGTAGCTGGTGGTAATGGTAAAGGTAAACGACTTGATCAATTATATGAACCTTCAGCTGTTTTCGTTGATCGAAGTCGAACTGTTTATGTAGCAGATTATTCCAATGAGCGAGTTATGAAATGGACAGAAGGTGCCAAAGAAGGAATTCTTATAGGACAAGTTCGATGGCCTAGAACAGTTCATCTCGATCAATCAGGTAATATTTATGCAATCGATGGATATTACAGTAGAGTTGTGCGTTGGACACCAAATAATGTCAATAGTACAATCATCATTGGTGAACAACAATATACTCTTAGTCAAGCACATGATTTAGCATTTGATCAACACGGAAATGTGTTTGTTTCAAATTACGGTACTGGTCGTATTGATAAATTTAATATTGATCGAAGTGCATGTCCTTAAAGTAAATTTTCAATTGTAATCCTTAATTTCGTTGAAATAAAAACAAAACGAGATGAAGTTATAATATTTTAATACAATTACTGTTCGATTTATAGATATAGTGATTTCGAGCAAATCATACTACGTAAAAAAAAATGATTCGATTCTCGCTAACGTTTTTATTTTCAAAGAAAATTTAATTGATATTTTAGAAATCGTTTGAAAGCAAGTGATATATTTATGAAAGTAGTACGAATACAATTTCATTTTGTTGAATAATTCATCCAGTATGATTTTTTGTGAATTCATAATTATGTATCCCAGTTGTGTCAATAATGATTAACTATTAGAAAAGTTACATATTTATTTAATCAGTATTAAACTGTCAATTAAATCACATCGAATAATTTAATCATTGTTGATCAGGTAAGGTACATTCGATAATCATTTTCAAATCATAATAATATGATGTTCTTTTTTATCATATTACAGATAGACACAACTAAGATAAATTTCAGTTTTCAGACTCTCTCATTTTAATCTAGATATTATAGATTTGTTATAACTAAAAATGGATTCAGTTAAGTATCAAATAAGTATGAGTGAAGTTAATCAAAAGAAATCCTTTTTTTGTTTTTGTTTTAATTAAAAAATTGTACTCTAAAATCGATGCTATTAATCATGCGATGAAATTTAAATTCTTCTAATAGATATAAATGTAAATCAAGTTAAGAGCGCGCTGCTATTATAATTGTTTATTTTTTATTTTGTTTAGTATTTAGTTGATAATATTATGACGATTGATTTATTACAATTTTTTTTGATTATTATGCTTTCACTATCAATTTTTGGAGTGCCAATATTATTTACCTTCGAAGGTTTATTTCATGGATTTTCATTAGGTGAGCCTTTAATAACAATCATTTTATGTATTGCTCTTATAATTCTAATCACTATTCTATGTTCAACAAACAATATTAAAAAACTTCTTATGTTTGTTAGCATTAATACAGGTCTAAGTGATATAAATAAAATAAAATAAAAAACATGTCTTTGGAAACTTTTTAGTGCTGATTTTGATTTTATTCTTCATAAAAATAGTTATCTTATATAATTTTCTCGAAAATGGTCGTCAAGCATTTCATCGATTAATAGAGAAATATCCTCATGGTGAAGAACCAGATTCATCTCAATTCTTATCTTATTACATACCTATTAAACATGAACAATGTTGTGGTATTGATAATAATCAGAATTTATCAGTCGAAGAATCCACTTATTTTCGTGTAAATTTTTATGACAATTGTATAATGATTTTTCCACCTTCATCAGATTCTGAACATCCATATCGGTAAGTATTAGTAATGAAACACTAATACATATCTCATGTCTTTTTTTTTTGATAATTAGTGGTCAACCATGTATGAATTATGTGCATGCCTGGCGTCGCCAAATTATAACATGTATATCTAACATGTTCTAGTGAATGTACTGAGTTAGTTGTCAGCAAAGTACCTTTTCAGGTAGTCTGTCACTCGTGTGTCACAGAATCTTGGTGATCTGAGAATTATCTCATAAGGGAAAGTTTCTAAGTGTGAATCGTTGATCGAGCTCATTTTTTCATATGCAGAATTGGTCGGAACTAGAAAAATCCTTAAAAGGTTCGTTCTCATACGAAGATCTTCCTAAGTTGTAGTTATTTAAGTAGCTTTTCGACCCGTAGTCACGTATTATTTATACCTTTAACTTCAGCACTCCTTTTTAGATTGTGTTACACAAAATCGATAGTTTAAAGACTGCATGAAATTTCAACAGAATTCAAAACTGAAGTCTCCTCTTTGTCTTCTTCGAAATTTCCTGAACTCAATACATTCACTAGTGATGTTTTATATTTAAAAAGATTGTATTTTTTCACATATTTTAGTGAATACTATAAAGAGTGAGTTGTATTTATACTTGTTTATTTTTATATCTAATTGAATCAAAAGTGATTTTCATCACATTGATTTTGATTTTATTTTGGACTTATATCTTGTTAATTCGACAAGGACAAAATCAAATAATTCAAACAAACATAAGAATAACGAATCATCAAAAACTAAATTATCCATCAACCATTTCTGCTAATTATCCATCGAATACATCTGTTAATAATCAGTAAACTTTAACACCTCGAACTCATCAGGACATTTAATAAGAAGAGAATAACTAAACCATCAAATCAAACAAATTTATACGAATATTTTGTCTTTTTCTTTTTTATTATAAAAAATATTCATGTCGACTGTTTTGAACGCTTACTTTTTCAAATTTTTTTCGATCGAATCAACAAAGTACATGGAATAGTAGCCAAATGAAGGAGTACTATCTAATTAATCCTATGAATCGACAGTTTATGTTTAAGATTATCAATAATTTTAATTTCAGCATGCTTGATAATTGGATATGTTACTTTTAACATAACGATATAAAAGGCTTGATGAGAATCTCAGATACTAGATACTATATATATCTACAATCGTTCATGTTATAGAATACGATGTATATTCATCTTTTGTAGATGTTGAAATCTTGATCTTGTTTGAATATCATGAACACCTTATTCTTATCAATTGTAACTTTCTAGTGCAATGCTTCATGTCTGTTTTATTTAGAAAAAGGAACATAATCAATTATAAGAGTATTTAATGATAACCCCCACACCCAATATTAATTTTTATGATCGGCACCTGACTTAACTTTTTATAAGAAAATACCGTTTTTTGACTGGTAATTAAATTTATCACACTTTCCATTCTAATCTTAGTCATTGAATATAAAATCACTCTTTATTGGAATGTCATCGGCATGAAACCTAATTAATAAATTTTCCTTTAATAATGATTAATACTTATTAAACGAATAAGATTTCTGCAAGGTTATAATAATCGTATATCGATTCGAGAGACATTCGATCATGTCTTTCATAAGAGTATATTGTAATTTAAATATACTAAATATAGAATTTGTAAGCGTCAAGTTAGAAATATTTATTACATGATTTAATGTTGGATTACATAGAGAGATAAAACTATACACTTGATCGATTAAAATTTATTTAAGTGTGTTAATCAACTTTAATCTTTTAGCCTCCGCAGCAGTTCCTGAAGAGCCACTAACAAAATAACTTTATAAATCGAGTATTAGTTGCCTGCATAATAATGGACGGGCTGAAAGTTTTAAGACACAATGTTTGTTCGTTGTTGACAATGTTGATAATATTTTCTATGAGCCAACAACTATAGAGTATGACTAAAATGTCATGCTCTTTCAGAAAGTTTACTTCAAAACTTTCTCTCAAATTTTTCATGAAATTAATGAGAAGATCTTTCCAAAGACTCGAAAAATAGTTCGAATGGAAAGCTTTTTCATACAAATTTGTACTTTTATTATTGCGACTCGAGAGTAAATATTAAAATCTTTATATTTTATTAGCGATGTATTGATCGCTTTTGTTGAACCTGATCTAAAGGTAGTGTTGAAGTATAGAATTAAAACTAGACTCTTCTCAGACTGTGACAAATTCATTATAGATCATGACAAACATTTTAGTATTGCCATTCTCTTTTCACGAACCACAATATATATATCTACAAAAACCATTGAGTTAGTCTGAAGCTCAATTGAATTTAAAATAATTGTTTTCTTGTTCTTTGATATTGACTGCAATATAATACGATTTACATTGTTCATCATTGACATGGATTCTCAATAGTGAGTACTTCACAAATCCAAATATTTTCTTGGACATCACTGATTTATAACATAACCAACTACATTGTGTTTTATATTTTAATTGCCTAGTAATGTTACTAAGAGCTCTATTAAAGATAAGAATTTTTTAAATTATAAGTTTTAATTTTATTTGAAAAAACAAAGGAAAACAAATTGAATAACATTTGATTAAAACCTATGAATTTATCCATTCAATATTGATTCCTAATGCTATTATATCATAAAAAAATACAGCTTGTTCATTTTTACAGAAGATTCGTGTTTCTATTTGCTTATGAAATAATCAGCCTTGTCTTAAAACATTCGACATCAGCTAAAATGATTCGCTTAGTAATATTTATCATTTTTTATTTATAATTAAGTAGTTTAATTCGACATAACTAAAAAAGAAAGTATTAAAGCGCTAATAAGTTTAATATCATTATTTTCATTTACGTTAATATTTAGTTATTCTTTTGGTAATGGCTGATGTATTACCTATTTCTTTGAGTGTTTTACTTTCATTATCAGTTTTTGCTGCACCAGGATTATATATTATCGAAGGATTTTTACATGGATTTACATTAGGTGGAGCATTAACAGCAATTATTCTATGTTCTGTACAGATAAACCTTATTATTATTTTATGCGTAACAAGAAATATTAAAATACTTACAGTGTTTCTTATTGTTGTTACCGGTTTGTTAGGTTTAAAAAGAAAATTTTTCTTCTTTTTTTTTTTTGTTTAACATAATTAAATAGCTCATAAATTGAAAGATATATTAATAAACACATCGTATTTGGTTTTTAACCTTGCAAAGATTTCACTAACAAGTCTTTTTTTTTCCTTAATTTTAGTCATTATTGTAATCATATTTATAATTGAAATTATCTCATCATGGAATTTTATTGACAATAGTCGTCAGAGATTTTATAAATTGATAGAAAAATATCCATATGGAACAATGCCAGATGATTGGAGTTTAATTATGCCTTATCGTGCTATTAAAGATAGAAAATGCTGTGGCATTGATAAAAATAAAAATTTATCTCGTAGAGAAAGTCGTTATTTTTATGTCAATTTTCCTACAAATTGCCTGAAGATTTTTACATACATGTCAACGAATTCCGAAGAAATCTATCAGTAGGCATTAACTAAAACAAAACTTCAGTATTGCGTACGTCTTTTTTTTTGTTCAAATAGTCGTCAACCGTGTATGAACTTTATACACGATTTGCATTATGTTGCTATAACAAGTAAATTGTACTTATTTTTATAGTTTTAAAGATTATATTTAACTTCTATTTTTTTCAGTTAGTGTTATGAAGAGTGAGTTTTGTTCTTTTTAACTAATTAATCGTATATCATTCATTTATATAAAAAGTGATTGTCATTTCGTTCACATTGGGTTTATTTTGGATTTATCTTCTTTTACGTCCACGTAAACAAAATCGAATGATTCAACCATTGACAGGTATATTAAATAATCAAAGAAGAATTTATCCATCAAGTACATCACTTAATTATCCATCAAATACATTGATAATACCTTCAACACATCAAAATATTTTATCTGATGAAAATAAAATAAATAATAATTAAATCAATGAAAATATTTTTCAAATCGACTTTGTTTAAATAACATAATTAATCGATGGATTTTTTTTATGGAATAAATAGAAAAGTAAAACATTAAAAAATGTTTACTGATGATAAGAGATCAATTTTATTTATTATATATTAATTAGTTTATTTTCAAGTCTTTTAATGCTTTCTTTTTAGATAACAACGATATGAAGAATATAATGTTTTAGATATATAGTTTTAGAATTCATAGAGAAAACAATGTTTGTTAGAAATTTACTTATTTTCTTCTTCATATAATACAACAATAAGTTATATGATCGTGTTCTGATTATCTTTTTTTTGTTTACATGAGGAAAAAATAGTCGTTCTCACCTAACGTATAATATTGTCTTTTGAACCAATCATTGATCTATATAAAGCTAATTAATTAGTAAAGCACTAATCGCTTACAAAAACGCTTTTCAACAGAAACAATGGTCATTTGATGAATGCTAATAGGTAAGAGAAAAGTCTAGGATGATTTACTTTTTCAGACGTTTGATCTTGATCTTGAGATATCTAAATTTCATTGAGTTTTTCAACAAAGAAACTGTGGTCTCTCTCAGATCACATGAAAAATAGACTTTCAAGTTTTGACTTCTAACTTCGCACAAACAAAGTTCTTAACAAAGTTAGTTGATATATCAAGAACGAACGTCGGGAAAACAATACCATTGAAGACTTTTCTCTTATTTAGTAGCATTCATCACAGGAACATCACCTCGAAAGAAAAACCACTCAACACCTGTAGATGTTTCCTTATTAGTAATTGAGTTTATATATATTCTTACTACTATTTCACACTAGTGGCATATTCTTATTTACTTTAGTTGTTTAATATTTTTGTCTCGTTGTTGCCAATTACGATTAGTTATTTAAGAACTAATGATGGAATTTTACTAGATCGATCGTCTAAGATCATGACAGATTCCATCAATGGCGAATCGATTGTCTCTCAGTAAAATGATATGTACGGATCGTTCTGCATTGGATTTATTTTCAGTTATGTGGTTTTTATTGCAGCTGAAAAATATTCAGTGTCTTACTCGCATCGATTCAATAAAATTATTCACGTCACGAAAGAAGAATTGTTCAATACAAGTGCATCCAACGTTTCCAGTGTTGCTTTCATTTCATCCCGAAAAAATAGCTACTCAGTCATAGAAATGCAAAAGCTTTAGAAAGCAAATGAATATAGGTACTTAAGAGAGTATGCACCGATAAGTTAGAAACATGCTTTCGAATTTTCAGTAGACAACATACAATTACTGACTGTATTTCTGTAAGGAGAAATACGTTTTTTTTTTACATTACCAATTTGTACTTTCTCGATGTTCTAGTTTTTGTGCTTCGTCAAAAAGATTTTTGCCATTTGTTCTAGAGAAAAGACCAAAGTAGCAAACATGTGAAGACTACGACTAATGCTGGTTAAATAATTCGCTTGGTTTACATTTCGGATATGTTCGAATATCATCCTACTTAAAGAAAACATAAATGTTTGAGTTGAGGTAATATAATAGAGAGTGCAATATCTAAAACACATACAACGAAGTAAGAATCGCAAAACTAACTCAGTTATGGACTGATGATAAACTTGAGAATGAAACGAATAACTCTAATTTTGAACTATTATGCTCATTTCTTTATGTATTTTTTCTATCATAATACACAGATTTATCAAAAATATTATTTTATTCGTTAAAACTAGAAGAAAACAAATACTAATCAATTATAATCATTATTTAGATATATATCAATCTCTTTCCGCTCATAAACTCAAAGAAAGCCTTTTATAACAATAAAAACACAGCTTCAGTTTTCTATTTAAATAATTATGGATATCTATCGATATGCATAAGATTTACGTTAGTGATATTGTAATTAGTCATCTGTAAAATATATCGAACACTGTCTGATAATGATATGGATCTTCTTCTTCATTATGATTAATAGAACTCTTCGTTGAATAGTTATTCTTGCATATCAAGCACTACTATTGAACTATTGCATGCGTATTTTGATAACTTACCCTGAACAATACGTGTTACATAAAGTCGTTCATTATTCAGCTCGTGATGAATATTTTATACAACTACAAGATATAAATTATGTTTAACTCTAATAATGAAATAAAAGCAAATGTTTATGCATGTCGATAATTCGATAATGTAGTAATTAAATGTAGGTATCATCGTCAATCTTTTTCAGACTCTTTATTCTCGAATATGATTGAAAAGAAATTGTCGTATTTATGTATAAACGAAATTAGTATGGGTCCTGCCGCGACTGGGATCAAAAACGAATGGTCTCGCTCATTCTGAGTTGTATTACTGGTCAAGTAGTGCATTGGAAATATAATAGCAGATGAGAACATATTTGAATGGATATCGTCACAACAAACACATCTATTCGATAAATAATCTAATATCAATTAAAAAGATCTTTGATTAATTACAAATATGAAATACAGTGAACAACTAATAGAAAACATAAAACAAATCACTTTTCTACCAAAAAAATTACAAAAAAAAAAAAACAGATTTGTTAATTATTCGTCACTTTATATATTTTTCGATATTTTCCTTGTTGAGATACTGGTGGTCCTCGAATAACTTTTGTTGAAGGACTTTTTGCATTACTTGTTGAGGTCTGAAGAAAAAACGAACAAAATAAATTTTATATAAAGAATAAAGAACAAAAAAAAAAAAAAGCATTTTCAATTTACAAAAACCATTGGTGGTGGATTATGATGTTGATCAAGTTGTTCAACAAAACCAACTGTTCGTCTTGATTGATGAGTTGGTGGTGTAAGTGAACGATATTTAGTATTCAACGGTGGAGATGGTGAACGACGAGTTGGTTTATGTGGATCTTTATGTTGTAAATTCATAATAACATTTTTCATTACTTTCAATGGCTAAATAATAAAAAACTTATTTTGTTTTTGAATTTTCATTGAAAATTTTTTCAAAGAAAATTACCTCTTGATATTCAAGTAATTTTTCAATATCTTTTGTTAATTGATTATTTGTTTTAATTAATGATTGTCGTTCATTTTCACATTCTCTATTTAAATAGAAATAAAATAATTTTATTATTATTTTTAATTAAAAGAAAAAAATAATTAAACCTAAGTTGTTTTTCAAGTTGTTCAATAGTATCGTGAATTGTTTTTAATTGTGCATCTTTATTACGTACAGTTGCAATAAGAAAATCATATGGTTGTTGAGCTTGATCTAATATTTTATTAGCATTATCAAGCTAAAAATATTTTATTTAAATAAATAAAAATAAAAAAAAAAAAAGATAATCAAAAATAGAAACCTGTTGTTGAATATCGGTTTTTTTCTTTCGTTCTCGATCTAATTCTAAACGTAATGATGTATTCGCTTGTTCAAGTTGAATAACACGTTTAGCTAAATGAACGGAATGTTGGAGACGTCGTTTTGCTGATGTTGGTAATGATGCACCATAACCATAAGAAAATAAAATTTTATCGGCATCAGCATCATTTTCAACTATTTAAATAAAAATAAATAATATTTTTTTTCACAAACAAGCAAATTTCCATTCGTTCGATCGTCTTTTCTTAATTTACTTATTCTAATGTCATATCAGGGATGAAGTTATCAGTGTAGAATGTATTGAATTTGTAGTTTTTAAACTCAGGCTTAGACTAGCATTGCCGATCGAGTCTATGTTAAACTTAAATCAGTCTTAGATGTTTATAATATTAAACAAATATATATATAGATACTAAATGATGTTTTGTTCTTGAATAAAGTGAATAGAAAGAAACAAAGTCAACTCAATTTATTACGTGTGATGGAGACTGATTGAGAAACAGACTTCATGAACACTAGATCATTAACGGAAAAGTCACTGGTGATAGTCAGTGTTTTTAGCATAAAGAATGTTATTATATTGAAGAAGAAGAAATGGTTCTGAATCGTATTTTTTAGATACACTCTAGATTTTATGGTTAGAACAAATTTAAATAGATATATATATGAATAGTGCAACACTAAATATTTATAATACAAAGGAAAATTGTGTACGAAAATACAAAAAGATTGACATATCATTTGATGCTTTTTTAAAATCATGTGTATGAATAACATTTAGTAATAGATGATTCCATATTCTATTGATCACATCTTCTGGTTAAGTATATAATATGGAATTGTATTCATGAAAAAGTTATACTCTTAATTTTAAAACTACTGAACTATTGTAGGATCTTATCGAACATAAAATTTAAAAAAAAAAAAAGAATCTAAAAGTTACAAGATGAACTAGAAAATTCGACCAATGAAGCATCATATGATCTACTAACAAATGTTATACATGCATGTATTGATTACACTAAGACGACCTATCAACGTTTTGTATTTTTTCTTTGTATGATCAGTATTCACTCTTGCACTATTCATATATATATATACCTATACAACTTTGTACTAGCAATAAACTCTATAGTCAAATATCAAAAATACAATTTGTAAGTATTTTACTGTTATTAAATAGGACCAATTAAACATATTTGATATCGTTTTCTGTTCGAGAAAATTATTATCTTTTTATCACAAAATAATTCATGTCCTATTGATCTTGAATGCTCAAGCGATTTTCTTGTATTATTTTCATCAACCGATCTTTAGTTTTCTGAATTCTTATTTAAGATAAATTTTGTGTGCGTATGATGAGACGAATACAGATAATTTTATCATTTACTAAACTATAGTAATGTATCTGCAATGGAATTCTTAAAACTATCTTTATTTTATGATTCATATGAGTACAAAATGAAAGATCAATGAATGTTCTATGATTTTGTTGTAAAAAGTATCACAAATGTCGGAACAAATGTTTTTTTTTTTCGTCAATTTTTTGATAAGTTTCGTTTTTTTTAGGGCTTTTGTGATACATCATCTATGAAATCTTACTGCAGAATGCATTAGGTAGAAAACTCCATGGACTATTAAAACCATTACTCGTATTTGAACTACTTGCTTAATAACCAAAAATATGTTATTGTTAATGTGTTTTCTACTAATGAGTATTAATTATATAAAACTTTAAGAAAATACAGTGAATAGTTCACGTGAATCACTTGAACTATTCATAATTATTTGATTGATTTTAATAGTTTACTCTATTATAAGAGTATGTTTATTACCTTGTGCAGCTTGCATTACAACTTCATCTAATTCTTGTTCAACTTTTTCATAAACTTGTAATTTTGTTCTTTTTTCATTTAATTCAGTATCAATTTCCATTAGACGACGATCAGATTGAACTTGTAAATTAAAATATTCTTTTTGAATTAACTAATAAAAGAACAAAAAAGAAAAATATATCAAAAAGAATTTAATGTAAAAGATACAAACATCGTTTTTCTTTTGTAATTTTTCAATTTCAATTTGTGTTGTTTTTAATGATTTTAAATTTTCTTCATATAATAATTGAAGACGATCAAATTCAAATGTTTTTAATTTTAATTCTGATTGTAATTCACCTAAGCGAACTTCAGTTGTACTTTGATATTGACGATATCTATTTGAATAGAATTAAAAAAAATAAAATTACATATTATCAAGACAATGATTCCTACTCATTTAATAATTCATCATATTTTCGTTGTAAATCTCGTTCAAGTTGAATGTGTCTATCACGTTCAGTTATAGCTTCATCACGTCCATGTTGAAATGTTCTATGAAAAAAATTATCTATGGAAAAGAAATTTCAAAAGTAAAGAATTTACCGATTTTCTCTTTCATACATTTCCTTGATACTTTCACGTAATTTATCAATTTCAAGTGTAGTTTTTGAACGAAGTTGGTCTAATTCAATAGCTAATTTATTTTCATATTCAGTTTTATAGGCATCTCTATAAATATATTAAAATAAAATTAATCATAAAGAAATCAAGATCCATAGATAAAGATTAAAAGTTTCTAATCATGTTTGTCTTTTATTGTCTCCGATTGGAAGATATTTAAAAAAAAATATTATCTATAAAAATATTTTTGAGACTTTTGGGTGAAGATTTTTCCTTAATAAATTTATTATTTTAATTGTAACGCTCAAGAGTATGTGATAAATTTGAGATCCTTTCAAATCATGGCGAAATCTAATTACTAATAGATAGAAGTGAAGTTTTTATGGTAAAACAATCTTTTTGAAATATACTTGACAACACTAACGAAAGTCTTTCTTTTTTGTCTGATCTGATAATATGTCATTAAACAAAGCCTCAAGAGTAGAGCTTATCGAATGGGTAGAATTTAGAAATGATCTGACGGATGCTACTCTGAACGAACAAAAAAAACAATCAAAATTTAATTGTTATACTATCACCGTCAAGAGTGCCTGAAAAACATGCAGGATGTTCTAGTCACGAAAAACATATCTGATGAAGAATCAGTAGAGGATTTAGTCTAATTCTTCTGTAAAGCACAATCTAAAATGAGTGTCAAAGTATACGATAGAAATCGGGACTATTCGGCTTTGCTTGCCCCCACAGATGTGACATACGTTGTAATTAATACGATCACAGACGATATATCAATAATATGCCCTTTTAATATATGAACTACTTCCATATTACATTTCTATACAGATAATCAAATGATGGCGAAGACGTCTGTTTCCAAACAGATAGAATAAAACATTTTTTTCCGTACTAAGAAACAGTAATTGAATCGCGTTTCACATTTTAATTCTACATGAAATGTCCTAACAACATTTAATATAAATTGCTGTCTCATAAAGTCCTTTAATTCGTTGATACCATTGAAAGTACTCTTCGAGTTTGACTCAAAATAGTTTTGGATCCGACGAACTTTATTTTCAGGAGAATATTATCATGTTAAACTTTATATTCGATAGCCTAAAATCTATTTTCTGGCTTTCTCTCTATATTTAATTTCTTCGTAAACAATCCTGCTATTTCATATTGTTCGGATGTAGTATTATATGATGTTGATATATTCTGTTCAACAATTAATCTTGATCTATGAAATAATTTTTTTTTATCATAGTTCTCTATTATTAGCTTTTATTTACAAATGTCTATATCTTTAGTAATCTCTATATATATACCTAGTTGAAATGTGTTTTTCATAAAGAACTTCTTTGGCTCGTTTAGTTTCATCAAGTGATGCTTCAAGTATCGATATTTTTTCTTCAGCTGAATAGTATTTTTGTTGAATATCATTATATTGTCGTGTTAAATATTCTTTATCTTGTCGAAGTACAATAACTTCTTGACGTAATTCAGCTAACTATATAGAAAATTTAAGATTAATTTGAATATAAAATATATATATATCAATATACTTGAAGAAGTAAATTTTCTTTTTCTTTTGTATGTGTTTGTATTTGTAATTCATCTTGTGTTATTTGTCGATCAAGTTCAACAACACGACGTTCATATTGATCACGTTCTCTATAAAATTTTAAATGCCAAAAATTTTCAAATGACATGAAAAAAGAAAAAAGTTAAAATTACGATTTAATTCGATCATAATTTTGTTTTTTAAAATCGAATTGTTCACATAAATTTTTATATTCGTTTAAATCTGATGTTATTTTTTGTAATTGCATATGAACAGCATGATTCGAACGGCGTTCTTCATCTAAGGTCTTTTAATTAAAAAAATTGAAATTTGTCAAAAAGATGAAAATAATAATCTGATTCATAATAAAACAACTATTAAAAGCAGTTGTACAATTAATACAAAAATATATATATTTTATTTTCAGCATATTCGAAATACGAAACGGTCACCTTTGTATATTGGAAAATGAATTAATTCTTTTTTTATGAATGAATTTATTGAGATATATACAGAAACAAGCTACAAGTAGGAGTGCGATCTCACAATCTTGATGAGTGCATACTGTCACAAATAGCTTTTTATCTCGAGAAAAAAAAACCAAGAAGTTGCAGTTTGAAATTTTAGTAGCTGTTTATCTCTACAAGATCATGCTACCATGAAAGATATTTTCGATGAGTAATTTTCTAGAGAATTAAATTCTCTATTCAATGATATTAGAACTAAAATTTAAAATAAGTATTAAATCTCTCGAAAATAGAACATGAAAGTAGATCATTATTTGTAGAATTAATTTTACTGTACTCTGCTATATATCAGAGATGTCCATCGCGGCTGAAAATCTGCCGCTGCCGCGCCGCGGCCTTAGAAAAAAAAAGCTGCTGCGACGGTTTATAAAAAAATGTTCCCGCGACGCTGCCGCACCGCGATGACTTATAAAAGAAACGCTGCCGCGCCGCTGCCGCGATGAATTATAAAATAAATGCGCCGCCACCGCGCCGCTGCCGCGACGGTTTTCAAAAAAGTGTTTCTAATTTCACTGCTGTGACTATATTTGACCAGAGATATGGGTACTAGTCCATCAGATTTATTCAATATCAGGGCGTTTCATTTGTAAATCCTGAAATTCTATTAAATTCATACAGTTTTTCAATGTCCTCCAAAAAAATCCTGTCGCTACCGCGCCGCTGCCGCGATGGTTTTTTAAAAAACCTGCCGCTGCCGCGATGGACATCTCTGCTATATATTGATTTTATAATTCAAATTAATTAATTTACTTTTTGTGTTTGAATAAGATCTTGTCCATTTGCTGTTAATTGACTATCTAACATATGTTGTGTTCTTCTTAAATTGTCAATTTCAGTTTCTAATGGTCGTACTGTTTCATAGAATTTTATCTAAAAATAAACAAATATTAATTTTTCGAAAATTTTTTTTCTTTTATTTAAAAAAAGAAAGAGAAACAAACCATGATAAAATCTTTAAGTGACATTTGTTCAGAATTAATATTTGTTGATTTTAAAATTCTATATTCTTCATCAGTAGGTAAAATTTTATTATGTAAATTATGTCGAATTTCATTAGATTTTGCTATTAAACGTTTATTAACATCTTCTAATTGACGTTGTCGTTCCATAATTTGTGATAATTGTTGACGTACTTCATCTTGTGAACGTAATGTTAATTCACGATCAATCTAAAAACGGAAATAAACATATTTTTAAAACAAAAGAATCACGACACATAAGACCACAAATTAGCCTACTAAAAATTTCTACATAAACAATACTCAGTCACCAGTACAAAGTTGTGCCGAATCAATTGATGATGTTTTCGATTGAAATGGTAATCATTTGAGTTAACACATACTCACTATATGATACTTATAAAACTCACAGTGAAATGAGTTCTATTCATTGACTGGAAGGAAATCAGTTAGACTATTAATCTATGTTGTTTAGGATGGTATAGAAGGGTTAGACATTAAATATATGTACACAATATTTGCGGGCATAAAAAAAGGGGTACTTTTTTTTTTATTCAAACCTGATCTACGTTAATTAGAATAATTTTTATTGTTAATAAAAGAAAATGACATATTTTCAAATTAGAAAAAAAAATGAGTCGATCTATATATTTTTCAAACCATTTTTAACAACTTGGATTTTCGTTGAAAAATTTGGCCCCGATGCCTACAGGAATCTTTCAAACTCTTTAGTTGAGTTTTATCTAAGTTTGGAAAGTTGACAGTTCATTTCTTATGATCGAATTCATTTTTTGACAGATTCCTATGCGGGATCAAGACCAATTCTTTTAACGACAGTAAAAGTTATCAAAAATCGTTTGAAAAATATATAGATCGACTCAATTTTTTGGTGCTGATCTCAAATGTTATTTTTTTTTTTGATTAACAACGAAAATTATTTCAATTAAAATAGATCTGATTTGAATCGAAAAGTGTCGCTTGTATGGCGCCCGCAAACATTGTACACATAATTTCAATGTCTTACCGTGGTATTTATTTCCACACAATAGTATCATTTTGTACAGCCCCAAAAGGACTATCAATTGATACATAAAAGTAAGTGTTTTCAATTTCATATAAGAGAGATAAGTCGCCTGCATTTTTGATGACAATCAATTTGCCATCCATATAGACACACAATGTGCGTGAAAGGTAATCTAGAACAATTTCTCAAGACTCTTTGATATTTTGATGGTTCATATATATAGATTTGTGAAATCCCATGCGCTCTTTCTAATGATTTATATACCACCCTAAATAACATAAATTAGTAGAATTGCTGGACCTATTTCAGTCTATGAGTAAACTGTGAGTTTTATGAGTATTATATAGTGACTTGTATTGACTCGAATCATTGACATTTCACTTGCAAACGTCATCAAATGGCTTGGCACAATTTTTACTAACGACTGTGTAGTATTTATGTATAAAATCTTCGTGAGCCGATTTGTGATCTTATGCACCCTTTATGCTTTATAATTGTTTATTTTTTTAAATTTTTACTTGAAGTTGTGAATCAAGTTTTGTTTGTAATAATTGCTTTTGATATATCATATCAGCTAATTTTTCTTGTAACTCTTCACATTTTTCTTCATAATGTATTTTTTGATTTTGTATTAAAAGATCACGTTGATTTAATTCAATTTTCAGTAATTGAATAGCATGTTGAAGTTTTTTTGTTTCAATGATATTTTTCATAACATGATTATTATTAATATGATTTTCACGATTGGTTGTTGGAGTTGATGTTATACCATCAAATTCATTTGCTCTTTGACCCAGAACACCTCCAGCTAATGGAGATGAGTCCTGTAAATATTTACATAGTGCTTTTCTATACTGATAAGTTATCTTTTTTTAAAAAAAAAAACAAAATAACAATAAAAACAAAGAGTAAAGCATGTTTTGAATGTCTTTTAACGATTATTAACTTCGAGACAAAAATGCAAAGATATACAAAAGGGTAAAGAAATTTGTTAGAATCAAAAGAGTTAATATTTGATTAATTATTTAGATTTGAATCTACTGAACGTCCAAGAACAATTTCACTACCCAAAATAAAACAAGAATCATATAAACAAACTGTGAATGAGAATAAATCATCATTATTTAAATCTTTCAATCAGCAAGATCTCTTAACACCAGATTCAAATGATGCTATAGAACATTGGCTTCTAGTTCAACCTGAGCCAAATAAACGTGTTCAATTTGCAAATAATATTAATAATAATGATGAAACAATTTCACGGTTAAATATCAATAAATCAGAATCATTATCGGATATTAATCAACATGTTCATCAATCAAATTTATCTCCAATTCATGAAACTCAATCAGGTTATAATAATGCTCTTTGTAGAAAACCTTACACAAGCAAAAGTACTGATAGGATGTACTTGACCTTTAGAATATTATTATTTTTCATTGCTGAGAATATATCTGATATGTTAAATAGACTGAATCAAAGTTTGTCAAGATAGTAATGGACTAAAGTTTTTCGAAATGAAATTAAATATTGACCTTTGAATGAAAAATAGCTTTTATCAATTGTTGACATGAATAGACACCTTAAGACATTTCAACTCGCCGAAACTAGTCGAATAAATGAATGAGAGTAAGAGATAACATAGTTTCATTTAAGAAAAAAGATATGCTGTCTTAAGGTGTTTTTCGATTTAATGAAGTATTGGTATTTATTTCTTTCCCTAAAAACAAATTAATAACGAGACATGACTCCAAGTACACTTTTAAGCTTAATAATTAATTTTCTACAACAAATCTTCGAATAATCATAGCGTTTTTGTTTCTACTATGTATTAAGTCAGACTATTGAACGTACGAAATTGAAGAATAATTAATAAGCAAGTGCAGTTAGCCAGAAATCTATTTTTTTGTATTAGTGCAAAAGATCTAGCTGAAACTTTCAGAGTATATGTATTCCGATGTGTCTAGTTCAAAGTTAAAATATTGAGTTTTTTGATTGTCAACAAATGGGTTTTCGTATTTTAAGAGTTTTAAAAAAATCTCATGATAAAGATTTTGAATTCATATCAAAATGCAGTTAAGACCTATCCCTACAACAAAACAAGATCTGATTATTTAAAATTTTGCTTCTTTACTTCCGATGATAGCTTCCCTAAAAAATTCGTTTTTTTTCTTCAACTAAATCAAAAACATGAAATTGGACTTTTTTTTCATGTTGTAAACAACAAGTTTTTCTTCGATTAAAAATCGTCCCGAGCTCTCTAGCATGTAAAAGAACTGAAAAATCATTGAAATAAAAAAAATGAAAAAACTCGTTTTGAGAACATAACCAAATGAGTTTCGACATTGAAAAACAAGTTTTCATCAGTCATGAAATCCTATGAGAAAATTAATTTGATACATGTCTAACAGTTGGTGATGTATATTAACCTATGTATGCTAGTCATATAACATGATCTAACAGAACTATTGAATTATATAGGATAGAAATTTGCACTCTCTTCTCTCACAGAGCGTGACAACCGTTGTTGATATATGATCAAAGACCATTGATCAATAATCTCTCATTATAATATAAGAACTATTTTCTTATTGCATGTTTCGAGAATTAGCTAAAGCAATGATGAAGAAATATGTTCCAAAACAGGTTGGATAAAATGGTCTCCCGATGATTAGCAACTACAATACTATCTTGTTTCACAATTTAATCCTACAGGAGTTCAGCAGTGGAAACGGTTCGTGTTTATTTTAAACTACATATAAAAATGCTTCGAATAGATATAGTATGCAAAATTTTTCTTGTATTTTGATGATCCATCGTTGCACACGAGTGTATTTACTTTCAACTTTAACTTAGTTCCATATAAATCTAACATAAAAACATTTCTGAAGTTTCTTATATTAGTTTTTATTTTTTAGAAAACAATAATACAAATGAATTATTAAATAAAAATGGTATTCATTCAACACCAATAGTTAAGCCTAAATTTTATCCTTCAATAAATAATAAAGCTTTATCAATTTCAACTGTAACATCATCATCAACAGCAGGTTCACGTACTGCATCATTTTTACCAACTACATCATCTGTTGATCATCGTACTACATCAATAGATAATTCTTCAAGTATAATAAGTTCATCAATAATGAAATATCGTTTATCAAATTTATCATTACTCGAATTTAATACATCGTTATCTGACATTGATAAAAAAAAATTTAATGATATTCGTGAACATGTTCCTGAAGAATTCGAACAATTATTACCAACATTATTGAAATTAGGTATTATTGTATGGCCAAAAAAATTTTTCGATAAGAAAGAACAATTAACATTAAAAGAAATAAGACAACGACAAAATTTAATATCAATTATTGAAAAAGATGAACAAAATTCTAAACGACAACATTATCTTCAAAATTTATATGGAAATATTTTACCACATGATGATATTTTACATAAACATCATTTATTAAGAGAAAATCTTTCATTTCATGGTCAATTATCTTTACTTGAAACTTATCGAGATGAAATAGAAAATTTATTAACAAAAAAAATTCCATATTGGAAATCAATACCAATGAAATCTATTCGAACAAATTTCAATGATGAAATAAATTCATTGAATCATTCATTAGTCATTCCGGCAACAATACGAGCTAAAAATAAATTTTTTCAAGCAATTGTACCACGAAAAACTAAATCATTTTCAAATATTTATTCATTAACAAATGATGAATTATTTTCATTGACATTTCCAGATAAAATTGATAATCAATGGTCAAGAACAATTCTTGGAAAAATTATTGAACAAGGAATGGAGATTTTAGATCAAGTGAGAAAATTATCTCAACCTTCTTTATTAAATCAGTATGATCAATGTGATCTTAAAGATCAAGCAATTGTACGAAAATTTAAACAATGGTTATTTTTATGGTCAACTCTTTATACAGAGGAAAAATAATTATTTTAATGGATCTTTATTTTTTATACTTCAGTAAAAAAAAGAATCCTATCTGTATTTTTCTATTTTTAAACCAGAAATAAAAAAAGCTGTTAGCGCAATCCCTTGCGGGATTAAAAATGTGAAACACGATGGATCTGTTGTTACTAATTAAATGAAAATCGTTTTGTTCCATTTCTTTGCAATACATTTGTAGCTAACCGTTTATCTGATGCTTTAGAACTACAGTTTCTCTGTCACGGTCTGTGGGGGGTGCAAATTTCTACCCCTAAACACTTCAACACTCCTTTCAGATCGTGTTTCATAATATATATCAATCTAACTTCATAATAGTTGATGATCGAAAAGTATTTAGACAAAGTGTTAACTCCTTTTTTGTTTTGAGAGTCTAGAGAAATTTGCAAGACATTCGCTTAAAATTCAAATATTGTGTTCTTTTCAAATTTAACTTCAAAAATTTCTTATGAGTTATGAGTCGACCTTTTAGAGATCAGTAGATGACATTCTGAGATGCCATATAGTGTCCTTTACTGCATATATTGTATAATCAATTTTTTTGCATAGAACTAAAGACAAAATTGTTCTCTACAAAATGATATATATGAATCAAGAACTTCAGAACAATCATTGAAGAATAACTGAGATGACCTTGAAAGTATTTTTTCAATAGAAAATTGTCTAAATTGACATGGTATTTCTTATTAAAACATTTGCTGTTAGCAAATGACTTAGAGCGAACTATTTATTAGTATAGAATTTAATTGAGAAATGTGTACTCTTTCATTTACTCGATTTGAAATAAGGTTCGATTTCATGTTCGATAATATTTGGTACATTAAAATTTGTTGAAACTTAATCAACGAACCTCTAAGAAGTCGACTCATACGTAATAAAATGGAAGCCTTACAAAAACATTGAAGTCATATTGAAAAGAACACAAAATTTAGATTCTAACTGAATATTTTCAAATTTCTAGTACCATATTAAAAGACTGAAAAACGAATGAATATGTTTTGTCTGATTGCTTTTTAATTATTTATTAAAAAATATCTTTCATCAAAAAAAAAAAAAAACATAGAAGATCTAAAGTTTAAATGAAGAGGTAACTTATAACCTTGGTAATATATTTCAACATACAATTGTTATCTTATCTATTGAATTAATAATATGAATCAAAAATTTATCGAATTCTAATATATTTTCAAAGAATTAAGAATTTATTAAAAAACAAAACAAAATACATACGTCAAGAAGAGAAAGTCCAGCAAGACCAGGAAGTGTCGGATCAGTTGGTAAAGTACTTTCTGAACTATCATGTCCATTATTTGATTCTAAATCACTTTCACCATCATGTAGATCATCACTCATTTTTTTCTTTAATCTTTGAGGCATTTTTTTTTATAACTTAAACATAAAGTATTAACACAAATATATAAAAGTCACAAAATATAGAGGCACTTGATCAATTATTCATTCAATTGTTCAATACCATTATAGATGATTAATTCTATGACAACAGATAATGACCAATCCATCAACTATGTTTTAATGCGATAATTATCAAATAAAAAATTTTTATAAAAGAATTATTTTATAAAAAAAAGAAAAGAAAAATACTTAAAATATTTGTTAAATTAACAAGTAACCTATTAGAGACATCTTTTAATAAATAGCGACATTCACTAACGCGTATACGAACTGTTTAGAAACTTTTTACTGGAGATTATGAATGACAAATGAAATAAGAATTGAGTATGGCTTGGCAAGGTGAGAAACGTTTAGCAGGATACAATGGATTATGTTCATAATGTAACAAAGCTCATATTCTATTCAAGAGAAATCGAGGATTTTATGTTCTATGCCAAACTCTTCATACTCAAGTTCATAGTAAAAATTCACTTTCAGATTTATTTGTAATAAAAATATATTTTTATTTTTATTTTTATTTTTTTGAGAATACATTCAAATAATGTTAATGTTTTTCTTTTTGAAGTTTTCTATCCATTGATTAGAATATAACTTTTTTTTCAGATATTTTAACTAATGGATATTATATTACAACAGCATCCAACATATTTAACACCTACACAATGTGCTCGTCAATTTGTTGATGATCTTCTTGAGGTTTATATTTTTTTTATTCGATTTGAATATATTTATATTTAAATATATTTATTTTTAGAACAAAGATATTGCTATATCAATGTCTGAAATGATATCTCCTTCGTATTTAACTTCATTAATAAATATTGCTGAAATGTATTTAACATATGAACGATCTTTATTTTTATCAACAGTTGCTGAAATAGGTTTACTTTGTTCAAATAAATATTATGAACGTGTTCATTATTTTATATCATTTCTTGATGAACTTATTGAATTTCATAATGATATTAAATATAAAATTTTAATAGAAAAATATTTAAATAAAATTGTTTATGCTGATTTAACTGATCATTTTATATCATATCCAATAATATTACAAATTCAAATTATGGCTATTATTGAAAGTACATCAATACTTTATTTTCCATTAATACGAGAAGGATCAGAATCTGATCAATCAAAAATTGATTTATTTCTTCAAGATGCTGGTAAAATATTATTAAAACTAATTTCTAAACAAAAATAACTGTTGAAACTGAAGTGCATCTATTCTTTATTATATTGAGTTGATAGTTTGAATACCTGTATGCAATAATATACAACTGATCACAAACTTCAACTAACCCTCATCGTTTTACATATATTGAAATTATAATTCAAATATCATCTTTCGCTTTCAAAAAACACATTCAGTAGTAATATGTGATCAAAAAGTTTTCGTTTATCATTGTACACAGGATGTTCTAAAAGTCAGAACGAAAAAAAAAAGTGAGCACCTTTTCAGCAATTCAAGATATTTAAACATTTTTTTCCAAATTGCATTACATATATCATTAAAGTTTAGTTCAGTATATTTCCGATAAAACGTCTATTCATCTAAATGAGTCAGAATAAAAAACATTTTTATTCATGATCAAAATAGACACAAAAAAAATGTCAACTGAATCTTGTCTTACGAGGGAAGGTCCCCAGGTGCCACGCTCCGTTTTGAATCGGACATATGCCATTTTGTAGAGCTCAGTGAGACTAGCAAAAGCTTAAAAGGGTTCTTCCCCATGGGCCTTGGGAGTCGAGTTATGCCCTTTCTACTGAATTTTTGACCATTTTTTCGATATTGAGCAGTAAATCAAACAACAGAGTTTTGATCTGAAATTTTGCCCATAGATAGGTCTAATCGTCTTCAGAATATCTTGATAATTTCAGCTGAAAAGAATGTTCCTTTATCGAGATATTGGATATTCAAGTAGGTTGGCTTTTTGCTCCTTGTCTGTAAAAGCGATGATTTTTTAATAATTCAATATTTCGACAAAGGAACATTCTTTTCAGCTGAAATTTTCAGGATATTCTAAAGATGATTAGACCTATCTATGGGCAAAATTTCAGATCAAAACTCTGTTGTTTGATTTACTGCTCAATATCGAAAAACTGGTCAAAAATTCAGTAGAGAGGGCATAACTCGACTCCCAAGGCCCATGGGGAAGAACCCTTTTAAGCTTTTGCTAGTCTCACTGAGCTCTACAAAACGGCATATGTCCGATTCAAAACGGAGCGTGGCACCTGGGGACCTTCCCTCGTTAGAATCATATTTCAGTGATTTTGTGAAATCAATACTGTCTTAATATTGATCGTGTTGTAGAAAAATCAGTGAAAAACAAGTTACGAGTGCTTGCACAATTGAGCTAGGATCAAGTGTTCAATCTATGTAACTCTTCTACGTAAAGTTGTTGAATACATTGTACCTTGTATGGATTTAATTAGAGATGTTCCATCATAATTCGGTATGTTATTCTTTATGATAATGAGCCAGCTTGTGCTATTGACTGAATACTTGCTCTTACTTAATTTTTACGGGTGCCCTTGATTTCATTTATTTTTTTTTTTCAGTACCTGTTGTAGATCTATCCGAAAGCGATAAGTTTTTGACAGTATCAGTTTGAAAAAATCGCTGAAATGTGGTTCAATTGATGTGTTTTTGCTGAAATCGAGTTGTAACTTTCGTTTTACAACAGGTAGCTGACCAGAATTTTGCCATTATTAAAACTATATTAATTTTGACTTTCGTAGTTACACATATTTTATCTGAAACTTTGAATGAATAAGTGATCAAACTGGAAAAAAATATATGTAAATCCTTTGAATTTCTAATGAGCCATTCACTTTTTTTTCTATTGTGACTTTTAGAACACAAGTCTTCACTATCCTTTTTACGTGATCCTCCAGAAATGCGTTGAGGAAATAGTTCATACATAACAATTAGACTTTATTTGTATATTGTCTATAGAAGAAAAGAGTGCTAATTTCTATCCTATATAACTTGAACACTCCTTTTAGATCATGTTTCATAAAAGAATAGTAGCATTTCACGGTAGACAGACTACATTTGTCGGACACTGTATACATTTGTCAAAAATTTTCTTTTAGCTCGATATTTTCATAATATTTCATCTCGTTCACTTTATCGTCGGATTGTCTTTCGTCTTAATTCACAAATATGTTCTCAACAATCAATTTTACGTGCACTTATTATTGGTTGTATATTTTTACCATTAACCTGTCATTCAGCATTTTTAGATGAACTTTATAATTTATTATCTAAACAACCAATTTTATTATCTTTAACAAATATGGAAACATTTTTTCATGTTTTATGGCCAACTGGAATTAATCAATCATATTCTGTTCCACGAGTTTATCTTTCACAATTATTAATTGTTCGTTTAATGAATGTTCAAAAATATTTTGCACAAATTATTCAAATTTGTTTTTTAATTCATCTTCGTGTACCAAATATACGTATTAATCTAATGGATATTATTGAACCATTATGTGAAACAAAAGGTTTTCAAAAATATTTAGATCAACAACAACAAGAATTTAATTTGTAAGAATTTTTTATGAAAATCTAAAAGAAAAACATTTTTTTTTAGTACAATATTTCACGAGAAGAAAAGCACTAATCACAAATCTCGACCATTTTTTTCATATTAAAACTTGGTTCAATCGCATGAAAATCAAAGTAATAAGTGCAAACATTTTGTACTACGAACTATACTGAAAAATGTTTAAAAAATGCTAAAATGCTCATGAAATCGGAAAATAAGAACAGATGATACCTAGGGATGAAAGTTATAGTATGTTAATTATACATTTTCGAACCGACGAAGAATATAATGGTATGCTTAAGTTAGTAAGCACAATTTTTTTTTCTGTTAAGAGAAACCTACAAAAAAAATAGAATACTTTCACCAAATTTCGACCGCATGAGTCAATTTTTTTTCTTATGATTGAGTCGAGTTCGAAGTTTTTATTCATAACAAAAATTTTAGTAACATTGCTTGAAACTAACCTGCATGTAAAAAGTCTTTGCACAAAATATATCTTCAATCTTCTTTCACTTAAAGGTTGGAAGAGACAAACAAAAGTAGTCAGCTAGAGTGAGAATTTTATGCTCTTTTTAAGTGCATATTCAGAATTTTTTTCCTACTTAAAGCTGATTCGATAAGAGCAAATTTTCGAAGGGAACCAAAAACGACGTTTGTACAAAACACCAGTTTCAAAGGCCTTAGTGAGAATGTTTAAACATTTTTCGGACCTTTAACTGTAATTGAAGGGGATCGAAACTAGTTAGGTAGAACCAGAATTCGATACTCTTTTAAAATGTGTCGTGCGTACTTGACTCTGACTTACGACTAGTTAACTATAAATAAATACCGTACTAAATAAAAAATGTCGTTTGTGCTACGCAAAATAAACTTTTTTCTACGATGTGCAATTTCTCGAAAGAGTATTTTGGAATAGTTTTTCCATTCTAGTTTTACAGAGAATTTCATGCTCTATAAAACTATGGATTCCGATGAGTTGTATCTCAAAAGAGTCAAAATCTGAAAACAGTTTTCCAAATACTATTCGATAGCTGAGATCACATTTTTCAAAATAATCGGTTTTTGAGAAATTCAACATGTATAATACTATAGATTCTAATGATTTTCAGTGATGTGTAGAAAACGAAGCAAAGTGTTCATTTTGTAGAGCAAGCTTCGTTCTACAAACTAGCGTATAAGACGACTTTTTTATAACTAGAATTAAGGCACTTTTAATCAATGTACAAAAATGCACTGCATAAAAGATTCTGTACAAACGTCGCTTTTGGTTCTCTTCGAAAATTTGCTCTTATTGAATTAACTTTAAGTCGGAATAAAATTCTGAATATGCACTTAGAAAGAGCATAAAATTCTCATTCTAGCTAACTACTTTTGATTGCCTCCTCCAACCTTTAACTGAAAGAAAATTGAAGATATATTTTGTGCAAAGACTTTTTACACGTAGGTTATTATTAGCTACTTACAAGAGATGCTCCGAGATATCGGTGTGAGTACAATTAATCTTTCGCAGCGTATTTGTATAGATAGTCAATCATAAACTTCATTTGTTGATAAAAATAGAAAAACTTGGTTATTGAAATGATTAGCGAAAAAAGTTCTGCCATGTTCGATTTATTAAAATGAAAATTCTTAGATCTCCTTGTTTCTTGTGGTTGATCACTGATGAAAGTATCTGAAAAAGATCAACTTTTAGGTTGAAATAGAGAGTACTAGATTTCAAGTATGTTGATAACCTGATAATTTATGAATAAAAACTTACAGCTTTCCTCTATCATCAGGAGAAGAACCAGTTCATACTGTGGAAATATTCCATTATTACTTTTTTTAGTAGGTTATTTCCGAGATAATCGGTAGATATTCTCTGATCGAAAAAAGTGAACTGAATAATTTTGAGAAATTATCTGTTGTAAATTCGAATTGCTCAGTTTTCAAAATTTGTAGATAAGTTTTACACAAAAAAAAACAATCAAATTAGAGCTGTATGATTCTTACTATAACTGTGATCTCATTTTGTATCTTATTTTCCAGAATAATATGAGTACCACAGAAACTTTGGACATAATTCGATGTTGCATTTATTCGTTTGATATTTCATGTGATTGAGTTTAAAGAATGATTGACTCGATCTATGGAACCAGCAACCTTTGCAGGGAGTTTGTTACACTGATCGAATTTCGTTAAATTCAAACTTTAGACATTATAAGAACTAAATAAAATTTCTTGTACTTTTTAATGTCTTGTTAGTGGAATTTTCAACCGAATCTTATTTATGAATATCACATATAATATATTTTATCCGTAAATTATACAGCTGTAGACATGAAGATTCAGATTTTTTTTCTAGCTATTTCTATTTGACATTAAAATATTTCACGAATTTTATGAAAGAAAAGACGTCGAAGTTGTCATTGTATGAAAGCTTCTTTTAGATTTTGTGTTTAATAGTATCAATCTTAGAAAACTATTATTGATGCATAGGTCTCGACAAGATGATCAACAAAATGTGTCAATCTTGGAACCATTACTTTGTCAAGTTCGTGAACGTATGAAAAGAGGATTTCGATTGAAACAATTATGTCGAATGAAAATTCGATCACGTCTTGCTGAAACTAATAATCCATATATACTTTCACAAGTCAATCAATTGAAAGAATTATCTGATACAAATAAAATTTATTTAACATATAATTTAGAATTATTACTTAATGATCCAGAAAAATTTTTTGAATCAACACAACCACAAAATGAACCAATTTGGAATTCAAGTATTCCACCGCCACCAGTTAACTAATAAAATAATAACAATGAATTTTTTTTCATTTTATTTTCGAATATGAACTACTGAAAAAAAGTTTATTTTGCATGAATGAATTATTTAAATAAATATTTTAATTTTTAAATAATGTTTAAAACTATTCATTTAATAAATCTTTCTTTTACTATATCACAAATATATTTCACATTGTTTTTTAATCATTTGCTTATTTATAAGCAAAATATGTTTGATGAAGCGTTAGGATTTCTTTTACTTTTTCTCTAAATAATCTTTGCATATTCATTCAAACGACTCAGCAATCAAATTAGAAAAGTACAAAGTTTTTTACGAATAAGTTTTATGTTTCTAAGTTGCCCTACTTATGTATTTGCATTACATTTTGACGTATTTGCAGTGTTATAAAAATAAGATTGATGTCTATTTTATCAAGAAAAAACAATTACTTATGAGTATAAGAGACAGAATATGATAGAAAAATGAAAGGTTTTTTTTATTGCATGTATTGCATTACCAACAAAACTATTCGTAGCCAATCCATTGGAAATCGAATCCTTATATATACCATTTAAAAATTTGACTAAGAGAAGAAACCCTTAGATTCACTAAAATTGGGATTTTTATTACGGGCTTTATTCAAATATACACGTACACATACAGATGTTATAGAATGGTCGACGTATTGTATTCATACATTTAGTTCCTGAGGGAATCTTTCCAGATATCAAACTACTTTTCGACTGAGATGATATTTATTTGATAAGTGCTAATGAGTAATAGGAAAATAAGGCGTGATTAGCTATTTTAGGTCTTTGTTCTTCAGATATCAAAATTTTATTAAATTTTTCAATAAAAGACGATGGGTTTCCTCAGATCACGCAGAAAAGCGAATTTCGACTTCAAACATTACAAGAACAAAGTTTGTAAATGAGATTAATTTATTAGGTGAGTTATCACTTTTCTAGTATCTCCTATGTTGAGGGACTCAATGTTCAAAATTCTCTCATGTATAAAATGAAATGTTGTTCATGTATTGATATCTCCAGAAAGGAAATAATAGAATAACTAAAATTTTCACAATCAACTAATTTTATTAAGATCTGTGTCCGTGCAAAAATTGAAATCGACAGTCAAAAACCGATTTTTCATGTGATCTGAGGAAGACCACAGCTTTTTGTTGAAAAACTCAATAAAATTTCGATATCTCAAGAATAAAAGTTCGAAAAACCACACTATTCTATACGTGTCTATTACTCACTAGTGTTCATCAACTAAACATCGTCTCGTTCGAAATAAAATTCGACATCTGAAAAGGTTTCCTTATCAGTGTATTTCGCCATCATTTATACTATATTTGCTTGAGAACACTAATGTCAGAGAGAAATTTGTAGATTATCATGTACAACTTATTCGTATAATCTTGAAAACTTATGTGGATTCAAAACTTAGAATAGGTCGCCTTGCGAATTGCCTTATCAACCAACTGGAGAGTTGTTGGCTGTCTCAAGGAATTTCATACTTTATGACATTTTAAAGTTTATTGCATTAACTTCAGTTCTAATGTATTATTATTTATTATATTTCGTGGATGTGTATTTTATTTCTGTTATTTCAAAATAAAAATTATGCATCTGTTGCATTAAGTCTGAATGAAAAACTTATGACTAATAATTTTCAACTAAAAATGATTTTGTAAGTGTAAGAATCCTAACTTTTTTCTGTAAAAAAGAGTTGGTCCTCCAAGGGTTAAATGATCGCAAAAAGGATCATGTGTATCTCTTATTTACTGCAGTTCAAAACTTGCGATTTTTCAACATGCTTCGCAAAGCTGTACAAAGAAAAAAACTTGAAATATTGAACAGAGGAATTCTAATTTAAATAAGCAGTAGAAGAAATATCTTGTTTTATATATTTATCTAGATTGTATACAAAATAATTATTAACAAATTTAAACCTTTTAATGAATTTTAAAAGCTGAAAATCATCATTTCATATAGCAAGCAATGATATAAAAATCAAAGTTTTCTTTGTATTGCAGTCATATATTCAAATTTATTGTAAAAGTCTTCAAATTATTGTTCTTTCTCTCGACAAACAAACTAATCAACAATGTGACAGTATGCAGTAGAATTTGCCAGACAGAGAAAGAAATATACTTAAAAAACTTCGGGAGACAGATAAAACACAGTTGAATAATGTCAATAGAAACGTATTCTTTTTAAAATGAAAGTCATTTTAAGAGAAAATGAATTATCAGTCTACAACAATAAAACATAGAAGTGAAACATTCAAAAATATTGTCGAGGATGATGTCATCATCTTTATTTGAAATTTTACCATAGAAAAAAACTCTGCATGTTATTAACTGTAAAAAGATTACTTTTTCTTTCTGATATTTATTTACCTTTTTTTTTTCTTTTCTTGCTATTGTGCATGCATTGTTGCGCAAGTACATGACGGCTCAAGTCATGTTGGTTTTTTCCAACTGACAATTGTGACAGAGCTTTATTCTATTCTCATTAACTCTTTTCAAAAGACAAAATTCCATAGACAATACGATTGTTGCTAAATAACTTCTAGAATCAAGTAAGTATCGATATCATCAAGCTACACAGCATGTATCTACATGTTTTATTGCTGACTAAAATTAATTTATCTAAATACTATGCATCAATTATTGGATTCTTTTGGAGCTTAGTGATTCTTTGAGCGTCATATAAAACATTTCACCCGTGAAATTACTAAATTTTGATATCTGAAAAGTTTCCTTTCATTGATAGGGTATAAATGCATTGAAATGCACTTCTTTAACCCTTTTGTGTTGGAGTTTTTTCTACTAACGGAAAATTTAGTTTTTAACTGAATACTTGAAAAAAGGATGTGTATATGAACGGTAGTACTATGAAATGACGTGTTGACTCTGATGACGAGCGAGCACTCTTTTGATCTGGCTAAATGCTAGAGTCTTGCAAGTAATCCTATACTGTCCAAGCAAGTAGTTGTTTAAAGTACAACGAGAGTAGACTAGGACAATATTAGTGTACGAATATTGGTGCAACCATCGCGATGACATTTGAGACGATATATTAGGGGTAAAAAGCTCTGCTCTTGTAGAAGCCTAGTAAAGCGGAGAAGTCATAAATGTCATGGAAGTAGTCTAAGCCAAAGTTCAGTCCGTATATATACAGGTTCCGACACGAAAGGGTGAAGATACTTTTTATACCATGTTACTTATCTTAACAATAAGGTTGTGTAAATAAACATGACAATTCATTAAACGTTCAGGAGTTTATTTCAATATAATCAATACACTATGTGTAGTACAAAAATCCTTCGCAAGAATTAATAAGTCTATTTTTATATCAATCTGTTTTGGATAATCACAAGATGAATCGATAATTTTTTAATACTTTGTTAATGTAAATGCATTTTTAGAATGGCATCTAACTATGGGACCGACAATGATCTTGAACGTGTCATTCAAGGCTTTGATCCGGCAAGATTTTTCGATCTTTCATCTTATATGTTTGACAAGAAAGGTGATCTTCGATACTGTAATGAAGAACCGTTGAAGTTAACCCGTGGTAAATGGAATTATTACACTCCATTTAGAGGTTGGATACGTTATGGTTTGAATATCGATAAATTTGGTTCTAGCGGTAAACAATGGATTGCATGTGATGGTGTTGCTGGTGAATGGGCTGTTGGATTTCATGGAATTCGTCGTAATGTGTTAGAAGTATTAAAATCCATAGCTTCTGAAGGTTTAAAAGTTTTTCAAGGTGCGAACAGTGAATGGGGCACAACCTCAAAAGATATTGGCTCAAATGCATCTTTATTTAATGAGAAAACATGTGGAAAAGGTGTATTTTTAACATCACAGATCAAACATCTGATAGACAATACGGAACATTGTAGATTAATCAAACCTATTCAATACAATAAACATTATTATATAGAAATTGCTTTACAATGTCGAATACAGCCGAAGAAAATTCGAGTACCAGAATGTTCCAAAAATGAATATTATATTGTGAACGATCCAACGTATGTTCGTCCATATGGAATTGTTATTCATTTTTTGACTGAGGCACAAGCAAAAACTATTTTAGAAGATAATGACTTTAATTTACAACCAGCTATTCCATTTGTCCAATAGAACAAATGTTGTTTAGAACAATTAATAGAACTTCTTAAAGTATAAACTATTCGATAAACTTTGCTTGCTACTTTATTAATTAGTTTGTAAATGAGAATACGGATATTATTTTTTTATACAAATCAATAAATTTAATCTTGTTGTATTTGCATTGAAAAATTTTCTATCTTCACAATAAAGATCACTATCAATCTCGTTGTAATAAAATGTAATTCTAATCAAAACAATACAATAATTGAAAAAAAATTCTTTCTTCAACCTACTATAGTTGTAAGTCTCTGATATATAAGGGTAAAGATAGACCAGCATTCAAGGCTACTCTTCACACTCAAACTTGTCCGACGCCACTGTGAAGAATATTTAGATCAGTATGAATATAAAGTCATCAATGGCAGTAATTTCTTCACTGCGAAGAGAGATATGTTATTTCACTGATCCAAAAATGTATATTGATTGTGGACAATGTTACAGCATCATACTATGTGACGATACGCAGTCATATCAAAGTTCATAGTGTTCTGGTCTCGGTCTAATGATTACATAGCTGATTTGAATTGCGAACCAGGACGATCATCAGAAGAATCCAGTAGTATTCATTGATTTACCAAAGTGCTCTATGTAATAAATGCATTTCTTACTCTATCTATTATTGATTGATAAGGATCTCTATTGGTAATACTAAATGAACGCACTAAACTAATAAAATTCTTCACACAACTTTTGATTCGAGAAATAGTACAACAAGGAAAATGAGAATATCTTTTATCTGTGTGTGATTAAACCGCTGACGAAACAGTATTATATTGAAGTTTATAACGGTAGAGTCTAATAGTTGTTATTAATGAATACTGTAACACTGTATTGTTTCCATGGCCAAGATATCATTTTAAAACATTCAAGGTGATGCGAACCACTGGAACGTTACATTAAAAATGATTTTGGCGAGGATATAGGTATTCTCCCATCGATCCCATGTCATTATTGTTTATTTGGAAAAAAAAACATCGAATAATTAGTATTCTATAATATTTTGTAAAATGATAGAATTCATTCTCTTACATTTATTATTTATTAATCATAAAAGAAATATAATGAACAGATCTGTGCGTTTTTTCTTTGTATATTCCATTATGATTATAAATACTGATTCAAACTCAATATTATTTGAAGGCATTCGATTAATTACAAGATTTTCTCGATAATATTCTCACATAAGTCTTCATTCTTCAACGTATTAAAAAGATTAGTTTTCAAGTTTCATAATTAATCAATTTTCTCTTAGAAACAATTATCATTTACGAAACAAACCTATTTCTTGATCAAAATTTCAATTCACAGATCATTATGATCAGAAATTCATCATTACTCAAAATTAACATGCACAAAAGGTGCATGAGGGGTATCAGATATGAGTGTGAGTCTATCCCAATGAAGAGCTAACTCATACCTAAATTCTGTCACTCACAATTATCGGATTTAACATTGAACAATAGATTGTTGATATTTATAGAGCTAAGTATAAGAGTAAAAATAGGACTCTCACAAACGATGACATATACTTTAGCATTGAGAGTGTTGAGACTCAATGAGATTTGAAAACTGATCAACTATGTTTAATGTTTGCATTATTTAGTAACTAGTATTGGTACATACATAGATGTGTATAAAGCTAACTGAATCAACTTTTCAACTCAATCTCTCCGAAGTCATACACACATTTATTCATCCTATTTTATTTGAAGCAACCACAAATTTATTTACAATCGACTCATGGTTTGTATAGTAATCATTTTTTTTTCTTTCATTTTTTTAGTACGAAACTTCTCTACATATCACATGTATGATGACAAAGCAGTAAAGATAATAAGAATATTGTTCTATCGTCGTGTCAATGAAATTATTATTTTTTTGCCCCTTCACATACAACTGAACAGGGCTGACCCGATAGGGGGTTTTGGGGGTTGTGACAACCCCCAATAATCGAAAATTTTCGTTTTTACCCAGCAAAAATGAATTTTTTTTCGTGAGTAGTGTTAGAAAAATGTTTTATTCGCATTATAAATATCCGAAACAACCCCCCAAAAAATCGCGACAACCCCCCAATGTTTGCTGACTCGGGCCAGCCCTGCAACTGAAACTCATGAATTCTACTAATTTCACTTTTTGTTTCATAAAATTACGATGATGAAGACCAAAATAAAATGTCTAGTAAAAGATAGTTATTTCAAAAATGAAGATCGAAGATGTTCTAGGCAGTAGAGCAATAGTGAAGTTCCGAGGATTAGAGTAACAGTGAATAAATAATCTTCCAATTGCATCAACACGTACGCTCGTTCTCATATCACATAGAATTCTTGTGTGAACACTGATATTTTGTTGAAACTTCAACACTACATTGAATCATCAATAGGTTACATAAATATAGGTGCATCTGATAAAAATGTGAGTTTAATGAGATGATATAGTCGTTTATAGTATCCGCAAAATATCGATCGGCAGATTTTCAAATTGATTCACTGGACAGTAAATATTTTTCTTTACTTCTCTGGTGTACAAAAAGCCGAAAATAATTTTCATGGAGCCTGCAAAAGGCCAATTTTACGGCAATATATGCTTGATTCGAAATATTCAATTACATAAATGAGAAAAATAATCTTCTATATTGATGAATACTTTTCAGTTATAGGTTTGAAATACTTTTTTGTGAGTTTCATAGATTTTTTATGAATCCTATTTTAAAAAAGACAGATGAAGCAGCATGTATGCACGCATCTGAATAGTTCAATCTTGACCACGATTAAGGTAGATAATCATGAATTTAGAGCTAATTAGTCACAAGTAGTTGTTGAAAACAATAGTTGAATTTTATTTGACATAAAATAAAAAAACCAACACATTCAACTAGGCAGTTCTTAACTCTTAAAAAGAATAAAATCACAGTTAGATTCTAATTTAAAACGGAAATATAAGTTCCTTTTACGCTCGAATTATATAATGAACTGTTTGATACGGTGGCATCATGTCGATTGATTGGCTTCCACCTTGTACACTAGTCCAGCCTCCTATTTAGTGCGTGTGGCTTCCAGCTTTTTGTATGGCAATGTTTGTGATATCACTAGAAATCATATGGTTATGACATTCAGAGTCACCAGCATTACCAGTACCAATGAAAGTCATGGAAGAATTACCGCTGGATAAGGGCACGTTACCTGTTGATCCTCCATGGTTGTGTTCTGAATCAGTATACTTATGTATGTGATTACCGTCTGAACTTGTTACCAATGTGCGTGGACCGTGGTAGTGTGCGGGCAACTCCGACAAAGTCAGCACATGTAGCGAAGCGCCACTAACGACTAATTGACTGTCATTATTACTATTAGTATCCAGTGGAAATCGAATGCGGAAATCGAGTAGATTGAAAGTGTCAATACCATTGCCCGATCCATACGTTATACCGATCACATCAAATAAGTCTCGATAGGTAGTGCAATACACTTCTGATCCATCGCAATATAATCAAGAATAAGTTAAATCTTTTAATGTCGACAAATTACCGCCAAACAAAATAATTGTACGAGATAGTGCTTCTGAAATAATTACAGATAGATATCCATAAAAAACTGACTACTGTATATGAATGTACTATAATTTCATTATATACTCGAGAGAAACATAATGACGGAAAAAAATCGAACTTATAAACGCTTAGGCTGAATTGTATTGTATCATATGAAAGGCGAAAATGGGTGAGTGTTTCGGATGATTACTACTAAAATAAGGAAAATAAGAAAACTCTACTATTATCTCTTGTACTAAATTTTGTGGGACACGACACGATTTAAAAAGAGTGTTAAATCATAGTAATAAAAATTAGAACCTGCTGCCGTCCACAACCTGTAACAGACGTAATTAATATACGATCACAGATCGTATATCAATAATATGTTGTTATAATGTATGAACTACTTTGTTATTGCAGTGCTGAAGGATTATTAAGTGAAAACGATGATGAAAGATTGTGTCCAAAAATCAATAGTGTAAAATAATCTTCAAGTAATGTTTCAATAACGTTTAATGTGCAAATTCAACCTAAACTTAGAGCTCAAATTTTTATATTAAGTTAGAAATTATAATTACATGATTTTCTAACACTTAGATATAAATTTATGTATTTACAATGATAATATTTGCAAACTTATGGCTTGGATGATCAAGAAACGTATATAATCACGAATGTGTTTTCTGTGACCTTATTCATCTATGAGAAACAATCTTAAGCCAGTTCATAATGATTGGAATAGTTCCTTACATAGAAAATTAACTCATATAGAATTTATTTACTTTAAACTTAGTAATGATGTACTTAGGCAAGTAAAAATCTCTCAGGATGCATTGGCATTAATGTTCATTTTTCTCATAGCCAGTCGTTATCATAGAATGATATATTCAAATGGAATTGACCATAATCATTAGATGCAAGGACCGAAGCTTCATAACAAACTAGCTTATCTTAAAGGGGTTATATGTCAAAAAAAAAGTGAAACAATCTCGCGTTAAATTAGTCAAATTTTCAAGAATTGTTGTAGATTTTTTTCTAGGCAAGAAATAATACGTATTTTTCATTTATTAACTATCATTCTACATTATTCTGGTCAACATTGAATGTATTATGGAATGGCATAGATATTTTAAATCGAACTAGACAAGAACTCGAACAATAACGATTTAGACATTTTATATTCAGAATAAGACTATAAGAAAAATCACAAGAAAAATGCCAATTAGTTTCATAGTAGAAAATAGTTGGCTATTTGTTATAAATTCACTAAACTTTCTCAGTTCCATTCGTAAGAAAACACATTGATTACCGAGATTTTTTCATTTCTTGAAAATATTAAGTAAAAGAAACAGGATATTCTGCCAATAAGTATGAAGAGATTAAATAAAATCAGTACAACATTCGTTATTTATCGTTCAATCGCAAGGCTGATACCAACGCA